AGGATGCCATCAATCATAGTCTGTGCCATTGTACAAGCTTCTGCTCATTAAACTGAAAGATGTATTCACTAAAGTGTGCATTGTGGGAAATCAGCAATGGAATGAAATTAAGGCCAAGACTGCTGAAATGGAACAGTAATTGAATTGGAGGATTGTTTTAAAGTTGGGCTATTTTGGTCTAAATCTAAAATTCCCTTTTCAATTCTAGGTCCATGTATTTGCAAACAATTCTACAGAAGAAGAATATTCAGTTGTATTGTCCCAAAAAAGAGCTACAGAACTCCATTTTACATAGTGGAAAATGTACCCAAGAGCCTACCCCATTCTGTAACAAAGGATAAGGCTACAGTCTTCAAGCTTGTTATAGATGTATGTTCACAATATTACAGACATATTGGCCTAAATAGCACATTCTACATCAGAACATTTATAGTGGGCGGGGGCTCTGATTGGTTGGTTTTAGCCAACCAATAGTACTGCTCTGATTGGTAAATAGTGAGCCTTACAGGTAACCAATTAGGTAAGGCTCACTATTTACCTATCAGAGCACTCTTGGGGGGACATCTGCATCATTATTCAATGCTTTCCTATGGGCTTCTGCTTTATGTGACTGAGTTTGACTCGGTCAGCGCAGCGGAATTGCCTCTAGTGGCTGTCAATATGACAGTAAAGTGGCCTTAAAGAAAAACCCCGCTGCCCAAATAAAACATAAAAATCACTGTTTAGTAGATATAACAACAATAAAAACATTCATGCATTTATTTATGCATTTGTTTCACCTTCTTCCCCAGCCCAGACTTTCTGTAGCTGTCCAATCACAGACTTCCTAATGCAGCTCACTGAGAAGTCTTTGCAAGGCAGGTGCTCTGGGCAATTGCTGCCTCTTGAGCTCCACGGAGCTAACCAAACCAGGAAGTAACAGGACTGACTGTCTGAAAGCCAGGGTGTATAACAAGGTTAATTTATACAAGTGGCAATTTCTATTGAAACCTGCACCTTTTTTAAAAAAAGAAAAGAAAAAAGGACACCCTTACTTACACTTAAAACATTTCAACAAGCTATAGTGCTTTAAGTGTCTGGAGTGTCCCTTTAACTCTTCAATGTAAACATTACAGCTTATAAAAAAGTGCAATGATTTACATTATGGGGTTCAAAGGTCATGGCCACTGCACCCAGACCGCTTTATTGAGATGAACTGGTCTGGGAGACTATAGTGACCCTTTAATTGTTCTCATAATCATCCAACAGAGAGTCTCTGTCACCTGTTAGGAAAAACTGGAGCAATGTGCACCACAAGTGTATTTTTGAATCCCCTTGGCCTGCACTTGGAGCCAAACAAAGGGCATTTAAGTCCATGTGCAAGCTCTTCACCAGCATTGAGCATGGGAACATTCGCCCGGATGACACGACAGTTTTACACATAGGCATCAATTTGCAAATGCTGATTCCATCCCCTTCCTTCTCCTAACAAATTAGTCAAGTCACAGAGGTTAGTTCAGTCAGAGAACCCAGATAAAAAGTTATATCATTCAAATGGTTTGACTACTTACAAAGATTGATATAGTGGTTACGGTGCTTGGAATGTTCAAACTGGGGGTGCAGACATGCTGCATCTCCCACCAGACTACTGGGGGGATGGGATTGGGGTGGAATAAACTTTAGTATATACCCGCTGTCTCCCCATTACAGCACCTGTCACGCCAGTATAGCTCCTGTTAACCAACAAAAGCCCCCACCATCCCACTAAAGCCCCTGTCACACCACTACAACCCCTACCACCCAATTGTAGACCCTGTCACCCCACTACAGCCTTTGTCACCCCTCTATACCCATTATTCATCCCAAATGTCCTTATATTTCCACTGCATCACCTACTATCCCATTATAGCCCCTGTTACCCCACTATAGCTCCTGTCACACCACGATAGTTGCTCCCACTCCACTATAACATCTACCCCACACTACTGGTCCTACCCCCCACTAACACTAACTACAGCCATATCTGCCTCTATAACCTCCATCCCCCTACTATGGCCCCTGTTTCCCCACTATATTTAGAAGGCAGAGGGTGCAGCAGCAGCCACGATGGAGTCTTGGCTCTGGAAAAAGGTAGTTTTTAAAACTATTTTATATTAATTAGGTGTGCCCACTAATCTAAATAGGGGCTAAGGCACTAAAGGCTTGTATTCCTAACACTATAGTGTTCCATTAATTATACCCTACATTATAAGGGAGGTTACATAAGCTTGAAGGAACACTATAGCATTAGCAGTACAAATGTATTCCTAATACTATAGTGCTCTAGTCACCAGTTAGGTGACCGAACCTCTGTTGCCAGTGTTAAAATGCAAGTATACTTATTTTTTCCCTCTCGCAGTGCCAGACTCCTCAGTGAAGCTCCGCCTCTGTGGACTGATTATTGTAGCCAATCAAATACTTTGGGAGGCTAGTGCGCAGGCACGCAAAAACTCTGCACTGCGCTAGTCAGATGATCTATAAGAGACCATCTGATAGAAATAGTGAAATTTTACTTCACTAGTTTGTGAAAGTGCCTCTAGTGCCTGTAGGTATGAAAGCCATGTGAGGCAATTAACCTTGTAACAAAACCATTGCCGTTCCTGAGTTATAAAACGAAAAAATAACCTGATATGCTAAATAAACCTGACTGCTTTAACATTGCTCCATATAGCACATTTGGCTGGAAGAACAGATTAACCTCCTTAATGGATGATGGATTCCTTAATTTTTAGTCTAGGGTCACAGAATACATAGGTGAAATGTTTGTAAGCTGTTGCATTGCCTAAATTCTGGAATGTAATTTATGAGTAATGAATGAATTAAGGAAGCAGGAAGCACAACAGCCTTGAAGTAAGACAATACATGATTGCTAAGCAACCTGTGCTACCCAAACATGCAGTGCACACTCCTGAAACAGGCCTCGCTGTTTATTAAAACGAAAAGCAGCTCAACAAACTAGTTGCATTCAGGAAATCTTTATATAAACCACAGACTTTACAGGTAAGAGAGAGCTGTATGTTTACTGTATTTATGGTACAGTTTAGTTCTCAGAAGTTTGTTGCAATAACTATAAAATATTTTTATAAAATCTAGTCTTTGTTTCTATTTTGCTCTTCCATTTTTTTATTTGTTTTTATTATTGTAGGCAGAGTTTCAGTGTTTGAGAATAGCAATACAACTTTTCAAAATCATGGGTAGTGTATGCTGTTTCTAAATTTAATATCGGGTGCATACCAATCTTTTGTTTTTTATTTAATCAATAATCAATAGTTAATTATTGATTATTGAAGTTATTCATGTTAACACCAGATTTTGTCGGGATGATGAAAATGGCAGAATTCCGATCGAATTGGCAGAATTCCCGCACTATTCACCCAGATGCATTTGGTGTCTGATTTAAAACTCTGCATAATTTCCAATAAAAATATTTGGATATAAAATCTGTGCTTTTTGCATTTGAACACTATAAAAAGTATTGGATTTGGAATATTTTCATGGAATTTACACTAACTAGGGGCTGAATTCATTCAGTACTAAGCACACTTGCAAATTATTGTTCACATGCTTTTGTTCTAGTAAAAGTTAATTTGAAGAACAAATAGTAAAAAAAACTTACGGCAGTGTTAGGGTTAACCATGTGGTGGTTGGCTAGCATACATAATTAACCCTCACACAGCCGAGTGAAAAAAATAAAAACTTATGGGGGGTCAACATGACACAGTAGTGTAAGGGCAATTTATAATCTCCTTTATACGCCTATCTTCCATGCTGCCAGTGGGAACATGTCTACTTAGCTGTAAAATAACCGGGCTATAGGGCGCAGTCCAGCCCCTACCCATGAACATGAGGGTCTTAACATCTACATCTCTGCCTCCACTTGTGGCTAGCGGGTGGGGGACTCTGTAAAAAAACATGAAGGGAACATATTAATATCCCCCCAACCCCTACCCATAGTGGTGGTGGATGAAGTTTCTAATATAATTACCGGGTAGGGAGACTTTGCGCTGTCCTAACCAGCCACATGATTAAGCCACATGCATTGCAAGCAGGCAAATAGTTGAAATGTTCAGATTTTGACAATCCATGTTCAGATTTCAGCTGCCATGTAGCTTTCAGTCTGGCTGGAATCCTGGCCAAATTTAAAATGATTTTGCCCCATATGGTACAAAGCTATTCCGATTTTAGTGATTAAGAATGTGTGGTTATCATTATAAAACAGGGTTGTACCAAAGACAGAATGATCGGTGTATCTTTAGTACCTATACAAGATGGTAATCAACAGCATAATTGTGGCTGACCATAACCTGATAGATACCATATATATATACACCAATTTTATCTACATAAACTATATGTTGTGAAAACACCACTTACTCTGAATATTACTTATTATTAAGGATCATTCTGTGGTCCTCTACTATGATGGAGGGAGGGGAATTCAAGTTGTAAGGGTCAGTGGACTAGGGGATCAGTGTACTCTGGTATTCATATCGATCAGGGGACTGCAATCTCCATGTCTCCATATGGCGTATCACTCTTCACCCAGAAGCTCAGTTAGAGATATATAACTGTAGTGGGCACAGTTGCTAGACATAAGTGATCAACTGTATATTTGTCATGCATCAGCATTGTATCACATTTATTTAATAGAATAATAGACTGTAAGAAATCTGACCATGTTGTAGGGGCAACACACCATGTCAACTACATTAATCCCTTAAGGACACATGACATGACGGAAATATTCTGTCATGAGTTCTTTTTATTCCTGAAGTTATGTCCTTAAGGAGTTAACACAGCGCTGACAGTTTAACTGCTCCTGATGGTGCAAAACTCTACCTTCACACCTACATTTACAGCTAAAACTAAAATATTAAGAATTGGTCCTATTGTTATTTCTCTAATCGGAGTCTGGTCTTACTTTTATCCTCAGGAGAATACACTTATCATTTAGAAGTTGAGGATTTTGTATTAGCGTTACCATGGAATACTCCAAAGACAACATCAGCCAGTCCAAGGACGTAGATGCTGAATGGAGGAGAATATTTTTAGAAAAAATGCAAGAGAGAGGGTTAAATCTACAAGAGAAAACCTTGGAAAACATAAAACATCATGGAGAACAAGAGGCCAAATTAAAGAAGACTGCTCCACCCGATGAACTGACAAAAGAGTGGTTCAGCGAAGATAAATTGTCCGTGGACACTAGAGCTTATCTGCTTGAAAAGTTAATGCCAACTATAGTGCCTGGCTTGGAAGCTGTGCTTAAAGAAGTTGAGAAAAAGAAGGTTTTGGAAGGTGGTTCTGTGAAGTTTGACCCTGTTAATTTTTTGGGAGAGTATCTCATGAGGAATAAACCTGAGTTTAGTGTAGGTTCTCATGCACATCCATATGTCCGAGGCCTAAGAGAGGTAGTTGCAAATCTCAAAGATCAGGTTTTCGACCTTGAATTCAACAGGTGAGCACCTTCATTGACTTACAATATTCAGCTTTACTTTCTGGTTAATTACATCACTGGAGTTAATTTTATATTGTGTACTTTTGTATCTGCCATATTCTAGCACTGTATGATTTTTCTATAATACTTAAAGGGACTCTATAGTCACCCAAATAACTTTAGCTTAATGAAGCAGTTTTTGTGCATAGATCATGCCGCTGAGGTCTCACTGCTCAAATCTCTGCCATTTAGGAGTTAAATCACTTTTGTTCAAGTCCATGCAGACCTAGCCACATCTCTCCTGGCTGTAAGTGACACAGACTGCATGAAACACATTGCTTTATTTTTCACTCAGATGTTAACTGACTTTAGAAGTCTCCTGGTCTTTAATTTTAACTTCAATCACAGACAGGACGCTCCTGCAAACTCTGCAATCTATTAACAGTATGAAAATAAGACATTCTAAATTAAACAGACTGGGCAATAAAGGAAGTGTAACATTTGATCGCTCTTTACAGGAAGTGTTTAGGAAGGTTGTTAAAGTCACATGCAGAGTAGTTGTGATTAGGGCTGTATAAATAAAGTGTGTTAACTTATTAATGTCAGAGAATTGAGCAGTGAGTACGTAGAGACATGATCTATACACCAAAACTGCTTCCTTATGCTAAAGTTGTTTTGGTATCTATAGTGTCCCTTCAATTGATCTTTGACAGCTCCCAGGAAATGTAGGCCCACTTGTTCTTTATATTAACATTGGCAATCTAACAGAATGTAATACTATTAGCTTCTAACAAAAAGTATTTGTTGGGTAATGAGGTTGAAAGGTCATGGCTGCCTCTGTAGTTAGACCTGAGGCTTAAGAGGGTTCAGGGGCTGCTTAAGACATCTAGTAAGGACCCAAGATACCACATTAATTATGTGTATGTCCAGGGGCATACCTAGAGCATGTGGCACCCGGGCCAGGTCCTGGGTTTGGCAGCCCCCCACCCCCACTCTCCAAAAAAAACAACCCAAAAAACACCTACTAAATTTTTAAAATGTGTTCTTTTTTTACATTTTTAAAAAAATGTATTGAACAAATTTGTAAACTTTTTAAAACCCCTGCCCCCTTCTACAAAATCCCTGCACTCCCTCACAAACAGTTACAGGCAGACAGTCACACACAGTTACTAGCAGACAGTCACGCGCACACAGTCACATGCAGACAGTCACACACATAGTCACAGGTAGTAGTCATACACACAGTTACAGGTAGAGAGTTACACACACACACAGTCAGTTACAAGCAGTTACACACAGTCGCGCACACTGTTACAGGCAGTTACAGCCACACACATACACAGTTACAGGCAGTTACACACACAGTTACATGCAGACAGTCTCACACACACACACAGTCACAGGCAGACAGTAACAAACAGTTACAGGCAGCTTCACACAGTCACAGGCAGACTGTCACACACAGTCACAGGCAATCTCACACACACAGTTACAGGTAGAGAGTTACGCACACACACAGTTACAGGTAGACAGTTACACACACACAGTTACAGGTAGAGAGTTACGCACACACACAGTTACAGGCAGACCGTTACACACACACAGTTACAGGTAGACAGTTACGCACACACACACACAGTTACAGGCAGATCGTTACACACACACACACTGTTACAGGCAGACAGTTACACACACGAACACACAGTTACAGGCAGACAGTTACAGGCAGACAGTTACACACACACACACACACACACATTTACAGGCAGACAGTTATACACACACACACACACAGTTACAGACACACACACAAGACAGACAGTCACACGCACACACACACACACACACACACACACAGAGTTACAGACAGATAGTCACACACACACACACATACACAGTTACAGACAGACAGTCACACACACACACACATACACATAGAGTTACAGACAGACAGTCACACACACACACCGCGGTTACAGACAGTCACACACACACACACACACAGGTTACAGACGGTCTCACACACACACAGAGTTACAGACAGACAGTCACACACACACACACACACACACACAGTTACAGACAGTCACACACACACACACAGAGTTACAGACAGTCACTCACACACACACACACAGAGTTACAGACAGTCACACACAGAGTTACAGACAGACAGTTACACACACACACAGTTACAGACAGACATTCACACACACATATTTACAGGCAGACAGTTATACACACACATACTCTTACTTACAGACAGTGTGGGCTGGAGGAGTGGGTTCCCTGAAGTCCTTCCCTGGCTGGAGCCTGTTAGGTGGAGAGGCAGGGATTTCTTCTTGCGGCACCACCATGTGCAGCAGTAACAGCAGCTCCGCCCCTAAATGTATGTAGCTCCACCCCCTTCTTCCTTCCGTGCAGCCGGTTAACCGTCCCCCATTAGCCCTCAGTCCAGGGTCATGTCACCCCCCTACCAGGTGGCACCCGGGGCAGAACTCCCCCTCCGCCCCTCCCTTAGTCCGCCACTGTGTATGTCATATGCAGGGGAGGTGTGACTAGTTCTACATAAACATGCAGATTTAACTACTAAATGGCAGATAATTGAGAAGTGAGATTGCAGAGACATGATCTATACACCAAAACTGCTTCATTAAGCTAAAGTTGTTTTGGTGACTATAATGTCCATTTAAAGGACCACTAAAAGCAGCCAGACCACTTCAGTTCAATTAAGTGGTCTGGCTACAGTGATCCATTAGTTTTTTTTGGGTTTTGTTTTTTAATGATTTTCAGGAATAAAGCAAAACATTGACATTAAGAGCAAATAGCTACCTTGGAGTTTATTTGGTTCATACAGTTATTCCTAGAAATAACGTTTGAAATGCTCACCAATAGGTATGCTATTGTTGGCAATGCAGGTTATGGCCTGTGATGCAGTCTCAAATCACCAAGATGGGTTGAAATACAATCCTATTCGGTACATGTAAGAAAGTAATAAGTATAACTGATACAAACAAAGTAACAGCTGTCTGACCATAACCCAGGCCCTCCCCAGGGATTGTTTTATGGTAGATATTTGAAATGCAAGTGCCAGTAAACTAAGGTTATGAACTAAACAGTTAGAGGAACAGGAGCCTGTATGAGCAATATGGAAGAAGCCATGAATTTGACCATTGGTTTCTGCTATGTCTCTGCTCGTGTGTGGAGATATTCTGTCAATGGTCGCCATGTCTCAGAGGACTGTAAGAGTTTGTATATCTGTAACAGAGTCCTTCGTAATGGTCTCGGTTTCAGACCTAGAGTTTCAAATTGAGTAAGATCTTGTTTTGGAGGAGGGAGTGTAAGAGAGCGTCCATTCATTTTAACCCTGCAATGTAAAGCACTACCATGTTAGTAGATATGACGATGCTTACATTGCAGGGTTAAATACACTTCTAGTGGTTGTCTTCCTGACAACCACTAGAGGTGCTTCCACTCTGTGACCCGATCTAAACTCTGTTCTCACAACTTCCATTCCATTGGAGGAGCACAGTGCTGGCCATGTATGCACTTCTTGTCCACAAAACTTTTCTCTGAGGAGCACTGGATTGGCCAAAAAAGTCAGCATGATGTCGCTTTAGTAAATAATCCTATTAGACCACCAACACTGAGCTGATGGGAAAAAAATAGAGTTGCAAAATGTGAAATGGTTGGAGTGGAAATGAATGCTGTACTGAGCCTTTTCACCAATCAAACTCATAAATAGACTTCATAGATATCCACTCTCACTCTTCCAATTTGTTACCAGATTTTAAATCCACTAAAATTCCCATAACTGTTTGCTTATCATACAATAGGCTTGGCCAGCTGAGAGAAGAACTGAAGGAATCCCAAAACCAGAGAGCACAAGTGCAAAACATCCAGTCTCAGATCAAGCAGAGAAGGAAAGGAGCTTTGTCTCTCCAATTTCAAGAGTGGACCTTGGATGTGACGGGGAGAATCCCTCTAGCACTGGTGAGTGCAGTTAATTGAAGGAGGATAGACATCTATACACAAAATACAATAATCTATTGCTTTGTTTAAACCTTAATCATCTAAATCAGTGGTTGTTAAATAGTACCGCAAATATTTGTGGCTATGGCAGGGCAGCACTATTCATACATTACCCATTATGATGACATTATTCTAGGAAACATGTGGGATATGTTAAAACTGTCAAAATGTTGTTGTAGATTAAGCTGTTCCCATCTCCCCCAATGATGCTACGATCTGTGTTTTTTTGAACGTCAATTAGAAATAATCACAAAGAAAACAAAAGAGAGTCGTGAAAAATAAGTCCTATATATGTAATGTTTTTTATTAGTTCTGGAGGTTTAACCCCTTAAGGACACATGACATGTGTGACATGTCATGATTCCCTTTTATTCCAGAAGTTTGGTTCTTAAGATGTTAAACTGTGCCTCTTATATACACTTTTACAGTTTTGTTCAGTTGCCCATTTTTATGTTTTTATTCTTCCTTATTCTTTGAACCAGGGGTGTCCAAACTTTGCCCTGGGGAAGTGCCAGATCAGCATAATTTCTTTCTCTTCATTGAATCTAGCTTTCGGTTTTGGCCATGTAGCTCCCTCTATTTTACCATGGAGAGGCGAAACACTCAAGAACAAGTAACTTTTGTAATTAAGCTTTAAAGAATGTATATGTGACCATGTTCCTTTGTTTCCAGGTACAAAGTGCCCTCAAGTCATTTCTTGAAGTAATCCTTCAACTTCAACAAGAGGCTAAACCAGGTACCTGGAGTACAGGCTAAAGATCAGAGACAGGGTGTTAGGTCTAAGGTCTAATGATGTCCAACACAAACTTTGAGTATATGCTAACTCAGTGGTTCCCAAACTTTTTAGGTTCAAGGCACCCTTAATATTTCAAAATTTTTCCCAGGCGCCCCAAGTCAAAGCCTAATCTTGGGAGTGGCACTGGTAAATTATTTAAAGAAACAATCCAGGAACAATAACCACTACATTACGTTGTAGTGGTTATGGTGCCAGTAGTGCCGTAGTGCCCTCCTGTTTAAGAACAGTTTGACAACTTACCTGGGGTCTGCCGGGATAGGAGCTGTAGTGTGTGTGTGTGTGTGCGGGGGGTGGGGGAGTACAATGTGTGTGAGGGTTGCAGTGTGTGTGCGTGTGTAAGGGGTCCATGTGCGTGTGTGTGAGGGGTGCAGTGTGTGTACAGGGGTGCATTGTGTTTGTGAAGGATGTAGTTGTGTGTGTGTGTGTATGTGGGGCAGTTTGTGCATGAGGGGTACAGTGTGTGTGTGTGGGGGGGGCAGGTTGTGTGAGGGCTACAGTGTGTGGGTGTGGGGAGTGCTGTGTGTGAGTGGTACAGTGTGTGTGTGTATGGGGGCAGTTTGTGTATATAGGGGTAGTGTGTGTATGGGGGTAGTGTGTGTATGGGGGCAGGCTGTGAGTATGGGGGGGCAGTGTGTGTGTGTAAGGGGAGCTATTGTGTGGTGTGGGGATAGGAGGGCAAATTATTAAATATATACTTTAATTTTTTTTAAATTAAAAATGAAAATGATATCCCCCTTCCTTGCTTACCTTTGCCTGGGAGGGGGTAAATTTCCTGCATTCCCTGGTGGGGAAGCCCTGGTGGTCCCAGTGGTGAGAGTGAACTCTAGCAGCCTCAGGAGCTACTAGAGTTCACTCTTGCGGGTTTCGGAGCGTGGCCGTGGTAACCACGGCCACACTCCGAGCCTCCGAGAGGAGAACCCGGCGGAGCTGCAGGTCCTCTCTCCCTCCCTCCCTCCCTCCCCTGCCGGCTGTTAGCAAAGTGCTAGCGGGCCGGAGAGGGAGAACTCTGATCTCCCCTCCGGTCCTGCAGAGCCGGCAGGGGAGAACACAGTTCCCAGGGCTATCATCATAGCACCTGGAAAATAACTTGCGGCTCCCCTGTGTGCCCGTCGCACAGTTTGGGAACCGCTGTGCTAACTTACTGTTGCACAACATCATTATGCATAGTGAGGCAGGTGAATATCTGTGTACTGTACCTGAAGAATACAATTGTATTATAACATATAAACATACATTATTGTGAATGTTTTCTATTTCAATTCTAAATGATATAGCTGTCCTCAGATAGTTCATATAGATAGTTAAAATTGTTCATATACTGTTTACGCAGGTCCAGTTAAATATATATAGGGTAAACGGAAGAGAATGTTATAAGGTACACAGGAGAGCTGGGAAAAGTAAAATATAGGAGATTAAATCAGGTGTAATGTAGGAAAAATAATGAGACTAGAGGGAAAGCAGGTAATAAATAAGAGATACAGTAGGAGCTGGAGAGAGTGTAAGGAGATATGCACAGTGCTAAGGAATTTGCTGGTGCTATAGTAATAATAAAATAATAATATGGCAGACAGGGTAAGATAGCAAGTAGGTGTAGGAACTAGAGGTAGAATGGGAGAGCCCAACGAACGTGTGCGGCAGCCTCGAGACATTACAACCCACACACATACAACAACACTTTACCCCTCCCGACGAAACTTGGAACACGCACGCTCTGTGCCCATACTGACCCAGGCAAGGAACCTTGCGGTTGTCCTCACCCATTACCCCTGTCATACTGCATCACGACAACGTGATATCTAGTTAGAGAACCAACTTGGTTGTTAGCTACCCTACCCAGCCCGGATGGGTTCAAGCAAACTAGAAGAGGACACAAGCCTCACACGACCGGCCAAACATGCCCACCTCAATGGAAACGTCACGATTGTCCTATGGACGGGGTCACCGCCCGCTGGAATGGATCATAGGTGGGGACACTGACTGCACTATGGCTTGGGCACATACGGACCACTTCCCACTGCTCTCCCCGCCCCTACATTATGTACTCCGTACCATGCAGACACTATACATTCCTACACATGGCCTCTAGTTAGACCACCATTCTACACACCGAATCACAAAAACTACACTCATCGACGACTATTATGGATACATTCCAACCACGGAACCACACTCTTAGAGTACCTATGGACGCTACTATGCCCACGTAGCTCTAGCTCTAATCGGACGCACTCAGCTCCATGACATACTGATACGACAACATTCTGCAACCCACACTTTAGAAGGTAAACACAGCTGTACCATGTCACTTGTTATGTATTGGAACAGAAAAACATCCTTGAATCTGTACATGCCCATGTTTTATTTAAAAATGCTACTTTATTGCACTATTTCACTGTTTGATTGATGAGGGCCTGCGAGCCCTCCATTTATTGTATCCACTTGCTAATAAAAACCTGATTAAGAAAAAAAAAAAAAAAGAATGGGAGAGCGTGGTAGAGAGAAAGATGATACAGGAGCTGGCGATAGATATAAGGGAGATACAGAATAAAAGAGTAGAGAAGATACTTTAAAGCGGCACTGTCACGCCGAACTTATCTGTTCGCAATAGTTTACTCTTTTCTTCCTCTCTCGGGGTCTGTTCTTCTTTTCTTCCTTTTTGATCTGGTTTTCTTTAAAACAACATAAAGTAGGGACTACTTTGTCTTATGTATTGTTCCTAAACTCGACCTTCTTTGACCAAAGGAGGAGCTAAAGTCCGCTCCATTTCCTGTGTCAAAGAAAATATTCCCATCATTTCCACCTTCCTGCGTGTTCTCGCTATGCTTCATTCGCCATGACCGAACGTCCTGTCATTAAAACAGGACACCGGCGAATTGACTGAATTTGTCATTATATTCGGTTTGGAATTTAATTCGGAGAATCTGTAAACAGCAAATAGGAACTGGAAGATGGAAGACATGTTAGGGAGCAATACAAGCACTTTACAGACAAAGCGGGGCACAGTTTTCTGGATGAGCATACCTACAGATAACCACATTTATTATTTATTTATTATGGTGTTTTAAAAATAAAATTAAAAATGCAGCTCTGAATAAAAATCTTCTCATATAGGTTAGTGGGTATTCTGCAATAAATCGTATAGCTTGCAATCCGAATAATTTCTTACATTAATCTTTTCCTTTGTGGATACAAGAGCTTTACCTGTTAGAGTAAGAGAGCTAAGTGCCAGGGTAACCTCATCAACAACAGGAGATGTTTCCATCAGCTGGATAAATACAATGATCTGCCTCTCACAGTGCAGGACACGTCTGACCTTGGAGAATGACTTTCTGTGCATTACAACCTGTAACTGATAGCTGTGCTATGAAATAATATCATGTACCTCGTTCAATTATGTGCCCAGTCCCACTACAACCTAGGGGTACTTCAGTGTTGTTAATCATTTGTGTGTAACACTAGCCGCATTGCTTTTCAATTTAACAGAAACTAATGTCATAAGGGTTGTAGATAAGATATACATTTGTTTAGCCGGATGAGCCAAGAGTATGGATGTTCTTTTTTTGTCACTAAACAGTCACATCCAAATTGCTAAACTTAAGTAAAACCAGTCAAGATGGTAAATAAGTTATTGTATATAAATAAAAACACTGCAAGTGGAACAAAAATAGGACACAGAGCAAACCATAAATACATTATTATTACACAATAAGGAAGAACATAGAATAAGAAACCTAAAATGCCCATGTTTAGCCCATGAGTAGAGCTAACAGGGATGTGTTCCAGGAGGGGATACCCTTATTAAAGCAAAAGATGTAGGTCCCACGTGCTACGGTACATGAAGCATGTTTCTTATCACCCTGACTTAACTATGTATTTCTTCATGGCAACAATTATAATGATGTGTGTACCACACAAAAAATAAATAATTGGAAATACACGTCATTTCATAACCATAAAATTATCACACCAACTACAGTGTATGTGTTGCGGTTGCTGTGACAAAGAGTAAAAGACTGACCTGTTTAAGGCATGTGTGTTACAGAACTATAATATGTGAAAACGAACGGATTAATATTTTCAGTGTTTATTCATTGATAGTGATTTATGGTTTATAGACAGTCAAATCACAACATTTAGGCCAAATCAGCAATTAGAGCCGTTATTTTATAATACTGTGCCTGACTAGTGCTTTACAGTTTGAACACTTTTTGGTTTTATAAATATTGTCTATAATATTTTTCAGCTCATTACTCATTTATATTCTTTCTTAATAGTGTATGATATGGACCTGGAGATTGTGCATACCATGGAACAAAAGCTGAATAAAGAAGAGTTTGTGGAGGTATAAATGAAATTTACCTAAAAAAAAAAAACTTGAATCAATATTCAGTATTTGGACACATCATTCAAACGGCCCTAAAACTTGATTTTTTTTTTCTTTCCTCCACTGCAGTATGTGTATCCCTTTATCTCGAAATTTAGCACTGATGTTTTTCAAGAGTTTCTGCATCATCTTGCACAGTGTGCAGACATGTTTCGCGAAACGATCCGCCATGACATAAGGCGGCAGAAGTTTTCTGATCTCTTCTTTAAGTGTGACCCAGGAAAGGTTGGTTCTTTACTTTATGCATTGTCCTTGTCTACATTTATTAGTGCCGCTTTGCTCTGCTGTCTACCTCCATGTAACTCATCTGAGATAATTGCTTTCCCTCTGTTGCTGCTGTCAGTACCATTACTTTATGGCACAACTGTCACTTGCTAGTAGTTTTTATATTATGTTTACTTTCCCCTTCATTTTACTATTAGCATTAATGAGGTCTGTAAAATAAAATCAAATGTAGAAAATCGGCACTCCCATCCAACCTTTGCTATAAACTCTAACTTTCGCACCTGTCCGTCGTTGGCGAGGAGGAGAAATAGAGACAATCTTTTTTTTAATTTTTATTTATTCCAAGGCAAGACAGTACATCCAAGACAGAATATAACACGTTATCACAGTATATTATCACAGTCAGGTTTATCTCGCATTTTCCTAAACATTGAACATTTGTTTCTTTCTTCTCTTTGTAATTCGTAACAGATAGTGAGATTAGTAAACAGCCCGTCTCGGGGTTCTTGTCCGCCTTGGTGTTTTTTTGTTTTTTAATTAAAAGTATAATATAAACATATATAGCTGAAATTATAATATTTGTGAGATCATGTGTCCACATCAGTTAGTAATGCATTGTATTAAAGAATGTACGGTAGTAGTAGAACGATTCTCACATAGGATAGTATGATAAGATAGTGAGAAGAATAATGGAAGGGGGGGGAACAAGAGGAGGTAGAGGAGCGGGGGGGGGGGGCGCGGGGGGTGTCAAGCTAGCTTGCCTTTGTCCGAGACGGGTCTGTCCAGGGGAGCCTCCGATTGTGGGTCTGTCAAGCATTCGCTGCGCTAGTTATCCTAGTTATCTGTTAGATCATCCATCAGGCAAGTATCTTTAATTTTTTGTATCACCGCAGAAAGGTTGGGGGCCTCTCTCTGCAGCCACACCTGTGCCAAAGCTCTCCTAGTGGCCAGATTCAATCTATGCAATAAAGTTTGTTCTGCGTTAGTCCAATTTTCTATAGATCTGGCCAGTAGGAATACCCATGGGTCTAGCTTAATCTCTTTCTCAAATACGTCTCGCAGCATCTGTGCAACTTGTTGCCAATGAACCTGTACTATTGGGCACTCCCACCACATGTGGAGATATGTTCCCTTTAGGCCGCATCCCCGCCAGCATAGGTCAGTTGGAATTTTATTAATTCGGCATAATTTTACTGTTGTAGTATACCATCGAAATAGTGTCTTTTATGATTGTTCCTGCAGCGAGACACACATAGAGGACCGCGCGGCCGCCTCACACATTTCCTGCCACTCAATACCCTCCAGTGTCTCGCACAAGTCCGCCTCCCACTGATCTATGTATGTAATTCCTCCCCATTCTAGTGTGTTGTTGCATAGATGCGTTTATAGATATGAGATCAACCCGCTCTGAAAATTTTCCTTTGCACACATCCTTTCGTAGAATGTCATCTGTGTTCCTGCGGCTTTCTTTACCTGAGGGTCTTGGGCATAGTCTCTAAGCTGAATATATCTGGAAAAATCAAAGGGTCTCAGAGGGGTTCTGGTTTGCAGTTCCTCGAATGACCCCCCTCAAACAGGTGATATAGTCTTTGCAGCCCTGCGTGTTCTATGCCTCTGAAATCCCGGGCTGTCATTCCCGGTGTGAATGCTTTGTTCCTTGAGAAAGGGGTCATTGGAGAAGGTGAGGATACCAGGCTATATTTTGTGGCAGCTGCATCCCAGATCTTCAGTGAGTTTGAGATTGCTGGGCAGATCATGCTAATGATTGGTCTATGTTCCTTAGGAGTCCACATATAAAACTGAGGCATATCCATCCCCATAAGGGATGATTCCAGGTCCACCCATCTTCTTTCCTCTGGGGGAGAGTGCCACAGCGCCACCTGGGCCAGTTGTGCCGCCTCATAATAAAAATACGGAAGGCACAGGCCCCTTCTGTCTCTAGCTCGATAGAGAATGTTACGTGATACCCTCTTGGTCTGCCATATAAATTTACCAATGGCTTGTTGGAGTGGTCCCAGATCGGATTTAGTTAGTCTAATCGGGAGTGCCTGAAACAAGAACAATATTCGAGGCAGCACATTCATTTTCACTGAATGAATCCTCCCTATCCAGGAGATTGCTTTTTCCATCCAGTTTTCCATGTCTGTCATTAATGTCCTAATCAACAGGGTAATCGTTAGTATACATAGCGCGAATCACCGTATTAAACTGCTACGGGATGCCGCAGTGGTCTAGCACTGTGAATAGATAAGGCCATTTCACTCTGTCGAACGCCTTCTCGGCATCCAGCGACAATATCATCGTCTGTATTTTCCTGGTTGCTTGTCGCAATATTAGGTCTACATTACGTCTGGTGTTTTCAAATAGTTGCCTACCCGGCACAAACCCCACTTGGTCCGGGTGGACCAGTTTAGCAAGTACCGGGTTAAATCTGCCTGCCAGGATTTTTGCTAGTAGTTTTGAGTCATGGTTAATCAGGTACATCGGGCGGAAGTTTTCTGGGACCGATATATCTCGTTCCGGTTTCGGCAATAAAATGATGTCCGCTAGCGACATGTCTCTATCGGGTGGACCTCCGTCCATGAGTTCATTGAATCAAGATTCCATATGTGGAATGAGTTCTTAATAACAGGTTTTATAATAGTTTCCGTCAAAGCCATCCGTGCCTGGTGCCTTGTTGCTCTTCAACGCGGAGATCGCCATGTCTGTTTCTTCCGCCGAAATCCGTTTACCCAAGGTGTCTGCTTCCGCCCCATTTAGTTTAGGTAGTTCTAGCCCGGTAAGTAAAATGTGTGTCTTGTCTCTTTCGCCGTGCGAATCAGCCGGTTCTGTTGGCGAATGATTGTATAGTTTTGTAAAGTATTCTGTGAACACTTTTGCTATGTCTATAGGGTTCGTTTGATATTGGCCGGAAGCGTCTTTAATTTTATTATTGTGGGTCCTGCACTGTCTTGGTCATAACGTTCTCGCTAGCAGGGTGTCCATCTTGTTAGCTTTTTCAAAATAGGTCAGTTTAGAACTTACAATAGCCCGTGCCATATCATCTAGTAGCGTTTCGCGTATAGAGGCCCTCAAATTCTGGACGGCCAGGAGGTTAGTGGGTGAGGAGTCAGTCTTGTGTCTTTGTTCTGCCTTCCGCAAGGACTCTAGGAGGGATGATAACACGAGAGATTTGCGTTTTTTCTTTAGCGTTGCTTCACAAATTAATATGCCTCTGATCACCGCTTTATGAGCCGACCATACCGATTCGGCTTCTCTAGTAAAATATTCGTTCAATTCCTTCTGAACCGTGTTGACGATCGCCAGAACACGAAGTAGAGATGCGTTCAATTTCCATGACCAGGGGGAGGCCACGCATAGTTTGTCCAACGTCACTGAGATATCCGCATGGTCCGACCAAGTGATGAAGCCCACATTTGATTCCGTTACTTTGGGCACTGATGAGGGGCTGACCAAGAACAGATCTATCCTTGAGCAGGTATCATGGGGTGCCGAGTAGAACGTAAAATCGCAATCGTCCGGATGGTGCGCTCTCCAGATATCTATGAGGCCTGTGTTTTGCATGAAAGTGTGTAGTAGCTTGTCCTGTCCTCCTCTTCTATGTGATCTGGGGAGATCCCTGCTGGAACCCCTATCTCTCACTGGGCATGGAGCAGCATTAAAGTTGCCCCCCACTATTACCATTCCTTGTGGTAGCGCATTAACTACTGAGTTAATTCTGTCCAGAAGTCCTTTGATGGGTCGTTTGGGCCATAAAGATTAAGGATATGTACAGTATGGGAATACAGCGTCCCTGACAGGAGTATGAAGCGGCCTCCCGAGTCTGTGTGAACCCTAGTAACATTAAGTGGGCACCTGCGATGTAGCAGAATCGCAACGCCGTTTCTCTTATTGAGGGCTCTAGATTCATAAGTGGTGTGGAAAGTGAGTCTCCTGCAGGAAGGCTATATCGGGGTTCAATTGTTTGAGTTCCCTGAACATGAGGCGTCGCTTTTTAGGGGCGTTAAGGACTTTAACTTTTTTTTTTTAAATTCTTTATTTATCAAATCATGCACATATGTTGTACAGAAAGAGAAGCATCATATATAGACAGTCATGTATACAGTGAAGCATTTGAAGCCATCCATACAAGGGTATCTTCTAATAATATATTATATTACGGGACATGGACAGTAAAAAACAACAGTGCCAGTTCTGCTGCTTAATATCACTTTGGTAGTACCATTGTTATTACATAGCTACAGTCCCTGTGCTTAAGCTGATGTTGCGTATAGTTGCTCTGTGAGGACTTTAACTTTTAGGCATGTATCTGCCTCAGGGGGATCGGTATACTGAAGTGCATTGTTACGTTTGTATTCTAGCCTATCGCTCTTACCTGTTTGTGCGGTTGGAAGGGAGAGCGTTAGCCAGCGTGATGTACCTTGCTGAGGAAGCGCGTCGCCTAATAGCTTGCTCTTACCATTTATCCTTCCCTCTCTCTTTGTTTGCGCTCGTTTATTCACCCGGCAATTTCCTGAAGTCCTGTGGCCATCCACCAGGAGTGTTGTTCTTTCGTTGGGGAGGTGGGGAGAAGAAGAAGAAACATTATGTACATCCAGTGCCTGGACTTACCTATAGCCAGGCTTGTGTGGGGTGTATGTCCCTGTCCCCCCAGAACTCCGAAGTGGCTCAACAGGGTCAGGGACATAGACCAACCCAATTATTTCAACGATAGCAATTGTTCATAAGCTATTTAAAGCCTCTTTTTCCGGCACTCCAGTTTACTATAATCTGCCAGCAATGTTTTATCAAGGATTATTAATCATGGTCGCTCTCTCCTGCCTCCACTATCCCTAGCCCTCCATCCGCCCTGCCACCCTCCCAACCCCCCCCTCCGCCCCGACCCCCCAGAAGGCCCCCATCCCGGTCCCATCAGAGACAATGTTTCTACTTCTTCAAAGTGTGCCCTAGGTGCCTGAGCTGAACTGGATTGTGATTTGAAATGCTCAATCTGTGGTCTGTCTGTCTTCCTAGAAGAAAAAAGAGCATCACATGAAAATGTTATAGCTTATTTGCAATGTTGTAATTAATAGAGCACAATATATAGAATATATAGAATATATAGAATTTATATTCTGGTTTCAATGCTGGAAGTATTGTTTTCATTGATTGTTGCTTCTTTTTATCTTCTGTTTTTGTGACTTTTTTAGGTTGGCTTCCTGGACAGACAGCGGATTCTTGCCCTGATGGAATCTTTCTTTGACAACGCAAGTCCTGAATCACCTGAATGGCAGCCCCGAAATCCTAGACAATGTGAGATATTTACAGGGTTATTCAATGAAGTGAAAATTCAAATTGAATTCAAAGTGGATTTGAAATTTAAGGCCAAAGTAGTTGAACTACAAATACAGCTGAATTAGAGATTTTTTTTCTGGTTTCACTATTTGCACCTTGCATTTGAAATTCACTTTGAATTCTCACTTTAGTGAATAATCATGTTAGAGAATAGTCCTGGTGACAGTGAAATCGGACCAGTATTCTAATCAACAATACTATGATAAAATACTATAATAAATGACTCTGCTCGTCCACATTACATAATTAACTAATATACTGCTAAAGGCATTACTATATCTTAAAGGTTAAAACATACAAATACTGGTTAGGTCAATAAATTAGTATCTTAGCCTGTATGCGAAAGGTTCACAGAAATAGGTTGACTTTTGTTTTCCAAATACAATTTTTATTGTGAATGCATAGCACTGAATTGATGTGACGTATATGGTGAATGACATATTGGACATTCACTTTTTCTTGAGAAATTAGAACTTGTAAAACTAAATAAAGAAAAAGAAATGGCAAATCAAAGCTCCAGTCCTGCTGTTTTATTATTAATGCACAGTTTGCGTCCAAGTGACTCTCAGGCAGGCACCACAAAGGAGAGACAAATCCCATCGAAATTAATATATATAAAGCACGGCAGTAAAACAATAAGAGGTGTTGGGGATTGAATAAGGTCTCCATGGGTTGTCATCTACTGTTGAGGGTCTGCTCGCAAGGCAATAGTATAACCCATAGCGGTTACCTGAAAAGTCCTGAAGCCATCAGCTAATAGTGTAGTACACTAACAGGATTGCGGTTACAAAACCCTGTTGTTTGCTAAGGGTGGAAATGCTGGTGCAATAAGAAAGGAGTGAAGACACTATTCGTAGATAGGTTGACTTTTAATTTGATTCCTTTATTCACTCAGGGCCGGTGATTGAACTCAGTGAAATGGACCCAGAAGACTTCTGGGCTAACTTTCAAGAAACTGAACAACTTACAGAGGGAAACGACCATGAAGAATCCAGAATTCCATTTTCAGAATTGATTCCAAGTCCTGAGCCAGCAGTGGTCAAGGACGTTGAGACTGTTTCTGCAGAGAATTCAGGAGAAGGTGAGACAGACAAAGTAGCAGAAATTCATATGTAGTCACTGGCATCATAAGAGTAATTTCTGATAGAACTGTCTCAATAACAAAAATAATTAAATGCTCGACTGAGTCATTTGAACTGAAAAGAAAGGCATTGTTCAAATGGCAGTGTTAACACAGAGTCCAACTAGCAGAGTCAGTGGGAGGGATACTTTATATAGTCCGTAAAACCAGAAAAAAATCTTGAAAAAACAAAACAGATGTTGACAAAAAAAAAAAGCGCTAGATGCATATAGGGTCTAATGTAGCGTTCTGTCGCGGTGTGAATGGGGACCAGATGCTATTCTTTCCATACTGACAAGCTGTGTGCACAACAATGCCCTTGTGGCCTGCACAAGTATGATCAACAAGTTTCATGTAATTTATGTCAACTGAAGTTAGGTATTTATTTTGTTTTGTTCTATTGCACTTTCCAGTTTTGTAGGATAGAACATATATAATAAAATTACTTTGTAATTTAACTGGAGGAGCGTCTGTTGGTAATAATTTGTTTCTAGCAGCATTTATAGGAATGCTAAGCAGCTGTCTACTATGAAAACATGATGAATGAAGCGAAGACTGCTGTTCACCTGAATGTGCCAGAAAGCACAGGCTTTATTGACAGAACATGATAGCACTGAGATGCTTTCAATAGGTGCAGACAAAGTATAGATCAGTCAAGCCTACCTTCTGAATTATAGATTACTAAACTGTTAAATACTGTAATGCCTACAGTCACAGAATGAAACTAGAATACATGTAAATTTAATCTTTGCTCGCTACGGTCAGTGAACTTTAGACTCCTATGCCATACATATTATTGGAATCACTATGTAAATCCATAAATTATGCCCACTTTCAAATTATTGCAATTTGTATCTTTATCAGATATCTTTAGATGTCCCTTTAGGTTAGGGCTCAGAGAGACCTGTGAATACCAAAGAAGGACAAATACTCAAGAATATCACATAGCCCTGCTTCAATTTCAAGGTTGTTTGTGTAGATAATCGTCTCTCTCTCTTTTTTTTCCTCTCTCTCTCTCTCTCTCTTTATATATACTTGTTTTTTAAATATAGCAGCATCCCAGCTTGTGGAAAGCATAGCTCATGAAGAACACAACAGTGAAAAAGAACCACACCATGAAGAACACAACAGTGATAAAGAACCACACCGTGAAGAACACAACATTGATAAAGATCCACACCGTGAAGAACACAACATTGATAAAGATCCACACCGTGAAGAACACAACATTAATAAAGAACCACACCGTGAAGAACACAACATTGATAAAGAACCACACCGTGAAGAACACAACAGTGATAAAGAACCACACCGTGAAGAACACAACATTGATAAAGATCCACACCGTGAAGAACACAATATTGATAAAGATCCACACCGGGAAGAACACAACATTGATAAAGAACCACACCGTGAAGAACACAACATTGATAAAGATCCACACCGGGAAGAACACAACATTGATAAAGAACCACACCGTGAAGAACACAACATTGATAGAGATCCACACTTTGTTGAAGGACAGGCCTGCTTGGGTACTTTTTATAAAATAGCTACTAAATTACTGTAACCTTATCTACCTATTACTACAATAACTGTATGTGTTAAGGGGTTCTTAAAGGGTATAAATGCATTTATTGATGAGTAAAGTATTTTGGTCTGTTTTCAGACACAGCATCCCAGCTTGTGGAAGGCAGACCTTCTGAAGAAACCCACTGTGATAAATATCCTCATGTCGTTGAAGGACAGCCTTGGTCAGGTGAGTATACTAATTTGGTCTTAAATAAATACAATATAATACTATACTATAAATAAGTACATGTATTCCTAATGCTGTAGTGTGCTGGTATCTATTTATACTAATTTATGGCTGAGAAGAAGACCTGTTTAATGGCCTTCCCTTCTCTCGTCCCATGTTTTGATGACAACTTGCTATAATAATATAGCATCTGTAGTAAAGTAGGTCACCATGCACTGATTTACTTTGAATCGGATGAGCACATTTGGTCTCTATGTAATCAGTGAATTGCATTTAGTAAATAAAATACAGGAAAATGCATGGATTTTCATATCCTGGTTCCCTTCAGAGTTTAGTGAATAGCTAGTTTATTGCAGCGAGGGTTGTTACATTTTATTGCTAATCTAAAAAATAAAAAATAAAAATTATCTTTTGTGTATTTGTAGGTGAACTCCTGACTGCTGATTTGCCATTTAGGTATAGCTCATATGGAGACAGAAGTCAAGATGAGTTCAGTGTCACAGCCTCACAGTTTACAGGTAATTTACTGAGGATAATTCTCCAGCTCTTACAGGATAATTTACTTAAGTGAGAATTCAAGGTGAATTTCAAATTTAAGACCAGAGCAGCTAAACAGAAAACATTGCTGACTTAGAATATTTTCCATTTTAGCTGTTTTGAACTTAAATTTGTTGAATTCTCACTTTTGTGAATAAACCTACTAGTTTTGTACAGATTACAGCGTGCATAAAGTAATCTTTTAGATGCATGGCAATATTTTAAACCTTTAACTATACCAAATGAATGATGCGTTTATAATGGGACTGTGCAAACCAGGGCAATCTTTAATATGAATTGGGTCCTGGGCAAGATTCTGCTTACAGGCCCCCTACCCAAGGCACAGCTGGTGTGGACCCCTGTAAATTATGGTGCCCCGGGCAGTGACCCTTTTGCTCTGTGATAAAGACAGCTCTGGTGCAAACACTCCAAAAGCAGCCTCCAATTTAGCTCATGGAAAGACTTTTTGTAATGCTCTTATATAAGGTTTTTTTTTTTCTGCCCTTGTGTTTATAAATCAAATGTATTTTAATGTTCTTCTCTAAAATGTTTCCCAGCAATAATAATATGGCATCCAATATGTTCTGACATATTTTCCCAGCCCAGTCATTTCCCCATTGCAGCACCTCTATATGTAGACAATATATTATTTATAAAAGAATGATTAGTGGAACTGTCATTTTATGCTCCAAATAATACAGCTTTTCTTTTCATGTAGAAATTGGCTTTCAAATACTTGCAATGTGGAACTCGAAAAGCATTTATCTTTGATCTTATCAAATGTATGAATATCTAGAATATCTGTCATTTAAAGTGAATTGGAAATCGGTATATTATACGAAAAATTACTTGAAAAGATTTGTGATAAATAGCATATGTACAAGGTTACTCTTATTATTTATTATTCTAACTTGGTACGTCCTAGTGAACAGTGTGATGTATCTGATATTTAATTCAGGTTGAAACTTGCAAATAAGAAAGATAGAAGGATATTTGGTGTAGAAGTTGGAGAGATGATTTTTTATTATTGGCTTGCCTGTGAGCCTTCGAGTTTCCACTTAAAACATCTGTGTTTGGTAACTGGATTCTAAGTAAAATCATTTTTTTTTAAATGGGCTAGGAATTCCAGTTCTGTTATTCCTGCCTGGCCTCCCCGATACTACCTACATACAGTAAATTGATCATTCAAATTCAATTCAAATTTAAAGCCCACTGTAGTGATTATGGCCCATTGTAGTGATTATGGAATTCCCTGGCCTGATAAACCCAGGTAATGTGGCAAACCATTTAGCAATGATTTGCCCCTCCTAACTGGGTCCCCTCTGGGTTCTGATGCTGTTTAATGGTCCTGTGTGTGCTTCTGGCTTCTGCAGAGTCACAGAAGCTGGAAGTTGTGTCCATCGCTATTCATTGTGTCAGCTGATCTCTCTCAGCTAGTGAATGCAATTCTGTGCAACGAAAGTCACACAGAATTGACATTAGCTAAACTAGAACTCCAGTCCGGATTGGCGGATGACACTCCAATAACGCTGCTTGAGGTGGAATTACACCTTTGGCAGGCAGCAGAGGGGTTAAACTCCGTATGTGCAGCATTACAATGCGAAATGCTGCACATACAGACTACAGGCACCATGACCTCTTCAAATCACTGAAGTGGTTATGCTTCAAGTGATCCTTCAAGGCCAGAGTAGCCAAACTGAATAGGTCCTTAATCTCCACCATTCCTGCCAGGCTCTCACCAAAACTGGCTAAAATTGTCTATCTTGAAGTTGGAACCTCCATTTTTGTGCAATCCCACCTTTTTTCTGTGCAGTTTTCTCACACACACTGTGAGAGTTTGTCACTTTTTGCTTCAGACTGCCCTCTCCTGTTCTTGTAAAGATCTAACAGAGACATTTCAAAGTAAGTTTACTGCAGTTGCACATATGTTGGGGCTGTGAGGGACAGCGAGTTCTCATTATTACCTAATCAGGAAAATGGTGGTAACCCAATATGTTTAATTTTCTTTAAAATTTTCTTATTTAGTGCTACAAATACACATTGCATAAAGAGAAAAAAAGGCTTTTATGCGTCAGACATGAACAAATGACACAAAATATGCTTTGAGACTGACCCACAAGGTTGTTCTTGATTAATATAGCAGCAATAGTTTATTTTGTGGTTTCTACAGTACATAAGAGGGTTTTACACAGAAATTGACAGACAGTGACAAACTGATACATAAAGCAGAGGCGCCCTATTTGCAAAAATGTGCACATTAAACCTCATGTCTTCAGTATATATCATATTGTGTTTTTCCTTTGGGCATTGTCCTTCACTTTAAAGCATTTAGTGTCAAATGTAAACAATGGAAGTCCCATATCTGTGTACAGATAAATGATACAACAGAAAACTGAAAGCTTACATTTTATAAATCAGATCTGTCCAAAAGGCAAATTAAATTATTAGCGTCACCTACATGTCTGGTTATTATTACAATATAATGTGACAGACTCGAAAAGCACTACCTATAAAAGCATTATATTACATCACAGTTTATTCACTGATTACGTTATAAGAGCGCTTAATGTAAAATATTATTGATTCAGATATTGTCATGGTGTGGAATCTTTAGATTGTAAAGCTGTTCAAGCAGGGTCCTCTTCAACCTATTGTTCCTGTAATCGTTTGTAATTGTCTCATTAATTGTTTTCCCCTTCATAATATTGTATAAAATAAGTTGGCCCTATATAAATGCCAATAGTAATGATAATCCATAACTTTTTAGTCATTTCATCTGCTATGTATGTGAGTTAAGAATAGTAATAGATTGTGTATTAGATTCAGAGCCTGTCGTCACAGTTAAAATATGAAACAAAAAAAATAAGGCTCTCCTGTAATCCAAAACCAGGATATTCTCCACTCAGCAGCCACTCCGTTTATTGTTAGATTATAATGTTTATTTATCTCAGTCCAATCTGAGTCTTTCCTTAGAGGAGCATTGGGGCCTTTTACTGCCAGTCAGATGTTTCTCATAGAGAAGCATTGAATCTAATGTTCTGTAAGATGTATTAGCGGGCATAACCAGGGTTATTTCTAACGTGAGAATTGAATCCGAATGTCAAATTTGAGGTCAAAATGCTTTCGGTTTGCTACTCTAGCCTTAAATCTGAAATTCGGATGAGAATTTAGTTAATCATTCATCAGAAAGATAAATGAAGGAATAGAAATTTCAGACGAACAGACAAACACTGAATGTTGGTGTTCATTTGTTCGTTCGTTCAGTTTATTACAAGGAGGAAGCTACCGGTTTGCAGCTCCCTCTTTGTAATATGTACAAATAGAAGCGACAGGGAACAGTGCTCCCGCCACTTCATAAGCCCTCCATGTCCTCCCTCAGTCTATGGGGGAGTGGTTCATTGTGGTGGCGAATGGATTCCCTTCGTGAAGCACTCCCGAACGGGGAGCAGGCACAGCACACGAATATACAGGCAACACACATACTAAAGAAGGGAAAAACCCATGAATATTGGCGGTCCCACCACACCCTTGCTGTGTGAAAATTGATTTTTTTAAGCGTGTTTTTTTTTTTTTTTGCATCAATGGTAAGTATTTTATTTTTACTTACAGGTATTTAGTTTTATTAAAAATAGTGAGGGGGTAGATAAGGCTTTATTAAATTTTTTTATGGGTAGGGCGGTGACTAGGGGCTTGGAGACCCCTATTCACCGGGGGTGGGGGGGTATTTTTTCACATACCCCACCCCCACTAGTTAATAGACCTACTTTGTCTTATAAAGAAAACTAGAGCAGATAAGAAAAAAAGAACAGGTCCTGAGAGAGGGAGAGAAGAGGAAGCGATTAGGAAAAGGTAAGTTTGGCATGACAGTGCCGCTTTAAATCACTCTGTTTATCCAGCCTCATCCACACCTCCCTGCATGTGACTTGCACAGCCTTCCCAAACACTTAATGTAAAAGATTTATCTGAAGTGTAAACTTCCTTTATTGCAAATTCTGTTTGGTTTAGAATTTCTTATCTCATGCTCTGTTAATAGCCCTCTAGACCCTGCAGGAGCCTCTTGTGTGTGATTAAAATTAAATTTACAGATCAAGGGCAAAAAAAGTCTGAAAATTAAACCATTTTTTTATGCAGGCTGTTCCAGTCACAGCCAGGGGAGGTGTGGCTAGGGCTGTATAATCAAAAGTGATTTAACTCCTAAATGTCAGAGAATTAAGCAGTGAGTCTGCAGGAGCATGCTCTATACACCACAACTGTTTAAGCTAAAGTTAATTTGGTGCCTATAGTGTCCCTTTAAGTTTGTAGAGGTAAAACCTTTAGAAATAGGATATAGTAAATATTGTATGCTAGACACTGCACCTTGTCAGCTGGCTTACTCGGCCTATCAATGCTGTCAAAGTATGAATGAAATTGGTATTGCTTATACTGAAGTAGACCTTCACCACATTAAAAATATGCCGAGCAGGGAGATGGTTTCAGTCAAACCTCTTGAAAATAGAGCCTGCTCACCGTATCTGCTACAATATAATGTGGTTATGGTGCTTAGACTGCCTTTTTAATACTCGATTGATGCAAATGAAAGAAAGCAATAGCTTTTATGAAAGCTTTTATAATAAAATTTGTTGTTATGTTTCTACATCTAGATTTACACCCAATCATCACCGATATTAATTCACGACGTCCATCACAAATTGCAAGTGCGTTCAGCAGCAGCCAACTGAACCTGCCGCAGTTTGTGCAACTAATGGAGACTTTTCTGGGAGTGGGAGCCCCCCTGCCAATTGTGGACAAACTCACCAATTTTATACAGAAAGAATATGTTGAGACAGAAGAGGAGAAAATTACATTGTTGAATAAAGTAATAAATCTTTACTATTTTGGGTACGGGGTACGCTCAGCTAATTGGAAACAATAGCTAAACGCAGATCGTGATACCACATTACTTACATAACTATAAGAGATAATTAGAATAAAGTCAAAGAATACAAGTACACCAATGATGTACAAAATAAGTAGAATAAAGGTGATTGAGGCCAGTAGAGTAAAAATAATTTGTATATAATGCGTGCTTATATAAGCAATGCAAATATCAATTTTCCTCTACAAGCAGACAATTCTCCATAATAGTAATATAAAGCAATTTAAAATGCATTCAGTGTGAAGTGTGTTATCTTTATTTCTTTTTTACAAAAAGTGCACATTTCAATAGAAATTGGCACTTTTATAAGATAACCTTGTTACACCTTCCTGACCTTCAAGCAGACACCAGGTCCTGTTAGTTCCTGGTTTTTATTTAGATCAGTGGAGCTAAACTCAAGAGTCAGGCAATTGACCAGAGCACCTGCCTTGCAAAGACTTATCATTGACCTGCATTGGAAGTCTGTGATTGGACAGTCACAGAAAGTTTGGGCGGGGTTAGAATGGGAGGGTTTGCACAGGCAGCAGAAAAGAAAACTGCAGCCTTTGTAAACTGTTTTTAGATATACCCCCAATAAAAAAATGCATAATTAATTGCATGTATGTTTTTAGTTGTGACATATCTACTAAACATTAATTTATTTATGTATTGAATTTGTGCAGTGGAGTGTCCCTTTAAGTGAACTTGTCGTGAAAGGTTCACCTTAATTAATAACAACTATTGAAACAATTCATTTTTAATTTATCATACAAATCCATCAGGGCCGGACTGGGAGAAAAATTCGGCCCGGGCATTTTTTTAACACAGCGGCCCACTAAAAAGGGGGCGGGGCAGAGGAGGTGTGTTTTGTCATCACCAATGACAAACACGCCTCCTCTCAAAGTGAGCATGTTGGTTCAATGCTCTTCCAGGGCAGACCATGCGCAGAGCTCTGCTGAAGAGCTCTAGCATGAGAAAAAAGTCCTGTATTTGTTCTGCACAGTGCAAGCAAATTTAATAACATGCTTGCACTGTGTTTCCTTGCAACTTGTCTCTGGTGTCTCTATAAATGGATACCAGGAGACAAAAGGCCAGGACAGAGTATTGTGCATGTGTTTGTAGCCTGCTTGTGGTATTGCGTGTGTGTAGAGTGAGCTGGTCGTGGTGTGGTATTGTGTAATAAGGTCGGTTTTAGTCGTGTTGTGTTTGTGGTGTAATGTGATGCATATGTGGCTCAGGAACCCCCTCCCGCACGGCTCTGGAAAGGGGTTAAAACTTACCTTTTTCCAGCGCCGGGCGGGGAGCTCTCCTCCTCCGATCCGCCCCGTCGGCTGAATGCGCACGCGCGGCAAGAGCTGCGCGCGCATTCAGCCGGTCGCATAGGAAAGCATTTATAATGCTTTCCTATGGACGCTTGCGTGCTCTCACTGTGATTTTCACAGTGAAAAGCACGCAAGCGCCTCTAGCGGCTGTCAATGAGACAGCTGCTAGAGGCTTTGGGGGAAGGCTTAACCCATTGATAAACATAGCAGTTTCTCTGAAACTGCTATGTTTATAAAACAATGGGTTAACCCTAGAAGGACCTGGCACCAAGACCACTTCATTAAGCTGAAGTGGTCTGGGTGGCTAGAGTGGTCCTTTAAGAGTGTAGTGTGTGTGTGTATGTATATATATATATATAATATATATATATATATATATATATATTTGGAAGTATTGTGTATGTGTGTGGTGCAGTGTGTTGGGGGGGTTCTGTGTGTATGTGAGGGGTGCAGTATGTGTGTGTGTGAGGGTGCGGTGTATGTGTGTGTGTGAGGGTGCGGTGTATGTGTGTGTGTGTGTGTGAGGGTGCGGTGTGTGTGTGATGTGTGTGAGAGTGCCCGTGTGTGAGTGATGTGTGTGAGAGTGCCGTGTGTGAGTGATGTGTGTGTGCCGTGTGTGAGATGTGTGTGAGAGTGCCGTGTGTGAGGGTGTGAGAGTGGTGTGTGAGTGAGGGTGCTGTGTGAGATGGGTGTGAGAGAGTGCTCTGTGAGAGTGCTGTGAGAGAGTGCTGTGTGTGTGTGAAAGTGCTGTGTGTGATGGGTGTGAGAGTGCTGTGTGTGTGTGAGTGCTCTGTGAGAGTGCGCTGTGTGTGATGGTGTGAGAGTGCTGGGTGTGAGAGTGCTGTGTGTGATGGGTAAGAGAGTGCTGGGTGTGAGTGATGGGTGTGAGAGTGCTGTGTGTGATGGGTGTGAGAGTGCTGTGTGAGAGAGTGCTGTGTGTGATGGGTGTGAGAGTGCTGTGTGAGAGAGTGCTGTGTGTAATGTGTGTGAGAGTGCTGTGTGTGATGGGTGAGAGTGCTGTGTGTGAGAGTGCTGTGTGTAATGTGTGTGAGAGTGCTGTGTGTGATGGGTGAGAGTGCTGTGTGAGAGTGCTGTGTGATGGGTGTGAGAGTGCTGTGGGAGAGAGTGCTGTGTGTGATGGGTGTGAGAGTGCTGTGGGAGAGAGTGCTGTGTGTGATGGGTGTGAGAGTGCTGTATAAATGTTATTGTGTGTGTGTGTAGGGGGGGTAAATAAAAAAAAAAAAGTCATTATTTCCCCCCCTCCCTTCTTACCTTTAGCCTGGGAGGGGGGGTCCGGCACGCTGGGAGGCAGGGTGGCGGTGTTCCCTGGTGGTCCTCGTGGGTGAGTGAACTCTAGCCTGTGAGGCTAGAGTTCACTCTCGCGAGATCCGGTCGTTGCCATGGCAACGCGCCGGATCTCGCGAGAGGAACCCGGCGGAGCTGCAAGTTAGAGCTCCGCCGGGTCCTCTCTCCAGCCTGGCTGGCTGTCTCCCTCCTCTCCCGCCGGCAGGCCGCATGTGGGCCGGTCAGGGAGATCCTTGATCTCCCCACCGGCCCGTCGTGACAAACAGCGGGGCCGGCGCTAGGAGAGTGCCGGCCCTGCATAGACCGGCAGGGGAGATCCTGGGACCTCCCCTGCCGGCCTCGGCCCATGGCCACCGCGGCCCACCGGGCATTTGCCCGGTGTGCCCGATGGCCAGTCCGGGCCTGAAATCCATTTATTTCATGTACGATAAGGTGCCCTATACCATGAAAAAGTACAATTTAAAGAGGTAAAATAATTGGGATAACACATTTTTAATTTTGGTGAGGCAATTTTAACCTTGTATGTTTAGAGTGGACAACACTTTTTTTGGGGGGGAGAGAAATGAGTTGTACACTCATCAGTTAAACTGTCCACTGATTAGTTGGACTCAGGGAAACACGTCTGGGTGTCTATAGTGTCCCTTTGGCATCCAGTAACATATTATCCTGATATTATCCTCACATGCAACAGATTACTTGTTGAGAAGTCAAGCCCTTTTTCCACATATTACATCCCTGCCCTTGTAGCATCAACTGTATTTGACCCATGGTCAATATATCTTAAACATCCTGAATCAGGTAGAACAGTTCCCAATTTTGGTTCCCTGCTGTGCATAGGCGTGCGCAGCCTATTGCATTAGGGTGTGCACCCTAAAGCACAAACACATGCTGCATGTATATATATATACAGAAACACACACATACATTCACAGACACACATACACATACACACTTACAAGCACACACACATACATTCACAGACACACACTCATAGACACTCACACACACACTTACAGACACACACACATACATTCACAGACACACACACATACACACACACACTTACAGACACATACACTCACAGACACACACATACATTCACAGACACACATACACACACACACTTACAGACACACACACATACATTCACAGACACACACACACACACACTCACACACACACACACACATACTCACAGACACACACACATACATATACACTCACAGACACACACACATTCACAGACACACACACACTTACAGGCACACACACACTCACACACAGACACAAATAATTTTTTTAAATTAAAAATTGTCCACCCAGCCTCCCTGCCTGGAGAGCTGGCGTGGACTTGTCCCTGGGGTCCAGTGGGTCGGGCGCCTATCTCCATACAACAAGCGGCGAGGGAGATCTGTGCTCTCTGCTCCCTCTCGCCATGCGGGCTGTCTGCTGTAGCTGGGAGCCGGAATATTCCAGCTCCAGCCATCAGCAAACGGCGTGCGGCGAGAGGGAGCAGAGAGGACACAGCTCCCTCGCCGCTTGTTGTATGGAGATAGGCGCCTGACCGGAGGGGTGAGGGGATGTCCATCACCTCTTGCTCCCCCCCAACACGGGGGAGGAGGAGGGCCTGCAGGAACAGCGGGAACAGCATTCCCACGTGTTCCTGCAGGACTCACAGGTGTGCCGCAGGGATTAGGGTGTGCCCAGGCACACTCGGCACACCCCACGCGCACGCCTATGCTGCTGTGTCATGATAAAGTGCAACTTGAGCATGTCATTAAAGACATGTTTGGCATTGGAAGAAATTTTTGACTTTACCGGAATGTTTTTTATCCCAGCATATGGATATACAAGTTAATAGGGCTGAGATTGTGTCACTGACATGCCCTCTGTCAGTCTTGTCCAGATTTCTCCTCGCAATATTTGGAAAAACAAACAAAACCCACAATACTGGGAGGTATACTTGTGAACGTTGCTTTTGCAGGCAAAAGTCAGCTTCATAAACTATACTTTTACATTAATTTTAAAGACACATGCCTCAAATCAATACATGCTTCAACATTACATTTAAACATGTGCCTTTAAAATGAATGTAACAGTATACTTTTAAAGATACGTGCTTTAGTGTAAAAGAGGAAGTAAAGTGCAATGAATTTTCGATTTTCATTTCATGCAAACTGGTACCCGCAGACAATATGTTAACATGGATCGTCCTACAACACGTAGCTGCAGTCATTTCATAAAGTCCTACTTTCACAAAAGTAAACAATTTCCATGTTAGAGCACATTCTTCAAGAAACAGATTGTTGTGAAAGCTTATATTTCCATTAGTAGTCAAATGATGCAAACAAATCAGTTGGTTGTCATGTAAAATTTAAATGTTCCTATAATTTATTCAGGTACGTTATGATGCTCTAATTGCCCATCAGAAGTTGGTGCTGCAGGCACTTTTTGAAAAGTGGGACAATGATGGGTCTGGTTTCCTGGAACTGCTTGAAGTGGAGGCAGTGCTGTCCAAATACAAAGAAGGAATGGAATCTGAGTTGATGGACAAAGGTGAGGAAGAGGTTTCTGTTAATTTATATAATCAAATGAAAGTGGTAGATAGTAACTTTGGATCTGAATAGCAGTATCATTAAATCAACTGTCAAAATTAATTCTCCTGTTATTTGTGTAATAATTTAATATCAGTTAGGGTTTGGAAGCAATAGAACAAACCAACATATGGTTGACAAATTAGGCTCATTTCTATTTTTATACTATTCAGGAAGGGAGTCTTTGAGCTCATCGCAGTCCCAACGTGGTGTCTGGAAGTTGTCGGCCTCTGAATTCTGTCGATACATTCAAGACGTGGTGAGCTTGTTACCTGGACTTGAAAGTGAGGTGTTTGAAAGTGTGGTGGAATTCCTGACCACCAGTGTGGAACGTACTCAGGTTGAGAAGATGCGAGGAACGTCTCGCAGAAAGTGGCTTCAACACATCCATACAGTAGCTGAAACCAGTGGTGGAAGTCTAGATCCTGTATATAAAGCTATTTTCCAAGCACTTTATAAGGTACACCCCCAAACATCTGTTCTGAATTGATAATGTATATGAAGGTTTGGCCACAATTGTCCAGTATCATAAATGAGCAGTTGAAAAATGTAATGTAAAACACATATAATTAATGTATACATGTATATAATTAATGTGTATATATATATTTTACTGGTTCTTTAGCTTCCCAGCCACCTGTTCAGCAATGTTCGCAAAACACCTTTACATTGTGCTCCATTTAACATTTCACTTCTGATTTTTTTAATTGCTTTTTAAGTGTCTTCTCTATTACAATTACTATTAATTAGCAATTCTTTTTTACATTGATTAATAATGGCTCACTTATTAGAAACATTGCAGTGGATGGGTAAAGAAGGCAGAATACAAAACAACTAGCAGACTAGAAACTTATTGCTAATGAAGCATCCTAATGTCATCTTAGAACGCTATGAAATAAATATAATGTACTTTTCTGGCCAACACTCATGATTTTAAACCACCCATTGCACAGGGACTGGGAGCAAACATACTGGCAGACCAACACCATTTTCCTTCTTCTAGTGATAGGTTTGTAAGCCCCCCATTGTGATACAGATTGCACCCTAGCAAATATTTGATTATTTTTAATTCAAATTGGACAGACTAGCTGATGATGTGGCACAGAGAAAGCCACTTGGTACCATTCTGCACCCTAATTGCATGTATGCTTTCTTCTGAGTCCAGTTAGATGGACTCACTTGTGGTGTACCTTGGGAAAAGCTGTTCACATTGATCACACTCATTACTTGTTTGGCAAATAGACCTGCAGAGCCCTACAGCAATTTCCATAATCTTTAGAATAATTATAATGAAACCCTTCTTCTAGTAATTAAGTAATTTGCTATCAGTCTGTTAAACTCCCATATTGTGCGTAATGGCATGGCAAGATACAGAAACTCTGGTAAGGTGGGTGCATAGTGGGGCAGGTAAGCATGAGCTGGACCATTTGCCTCCCATTTTCTTCAATCCATGGAATGTTGAAATCAATGTGGACTAAACAGAACTATTAAATTTGTATATTGTATATAAGTATAAACTTTTGTAATTTTGTGGAATGATGTTCAAATGAAGAAACTCTCTGAACACACCATAAATGTTCTTACTTTAAGGATGCTGAAGCCCATGGCAACAATAAAAAGATCAGTGCCAGTATCGCCCTTCTGGTGCAGAGCGTAGTAGAGGGAGAGTGGAAAGAGGTTCTACGCTATGTTGCATGTACATCAGATGATGCCTTCTATGTTTTAAATAAGATTTTGCACAGGGACATGGAGAATGTAAGGTAAGATATACCACCAATACTCCTTCAAGCATCACCCTTCTGTAACTACACTCCAAGGCAATCTTCAAAAACGACTGTGCAAAAATTGGATGTACTCCTAGGCAAATGTATTGAAATATAAAGTGCAATGTTTCAGGTGTTAAGAGCCTTGGTCAAGCTTGGTCAATAAATGTGCCTGGGATTATATGCAATTTTGTCAAACACAGTATTACAGTGAGGGAAAAAAGTATTTGATCCCCTGCTGATTTTTGAACGTTTGCCCACTGACAAAGAAATGATCAGTCTATAATTTTAACGGTAGTTGTATTTTAACAGTGATAGACAGGATAACACAAAAAAAAAATCCAGAAAAACCCATGTCAAAAAAGTTATAAACTGATTTGCATGTCAATGAGTGAAATAAGTATTTGACCCCTTTGACTTAGTACTTGGTGGCAAAATCCTTGTTGGCAATCACAGAGGTCAGAAGTTCTTGTAGTTGGCCACCAGGTTTGCACACATCTCAGGAGGGATTTTGTCCCTCTCTTCTTTGCAGATCCTCTCCACATTCTTTGTTTCTATGGATATTGATACTTTAGAGAGAGTTCAGAGAAGGGCTACTAAACTGGTTCATGGATTGCAGGATAAAACTTACAAGGAAAGGTTAAAGGAACTTAACATGTATAGCTTGGAGGAAAGATGAGACGGGGAATATGATAGAAACATTTAAATACATAAAAGGAATCAACACAGTAAAGGAGGAGACTATATTTAAAAGAAGAAAAACTACCACAACAAGAGGCCATAGTCTTAAATTAGAGGGGCAAAGGTTTAAAAATAATATCCGGAAGTATTACTTTACTGAGAGGGTAGTGGATGCATAGAATAGCCTTCCAGCTGAAGTGGTAGAGGTTAACACAGTAAAGGAGTTTAAGCATGCGTGGAATGCTAACTATAAGATAAGGCCAGGGACTAATGAAAGTATTTAAAAATAAATTGGCAGACTAGAAGGGCCGAATGGTTCTTATCTGCCGTCACATTCTATGTTTCTGTGTTTCTAAGTCATTAAGGTTTTGAGGCTGACGTTTGGCAACTCGAACCTTCAGCTCCTTCCACAGATTTTCTATGGGATTAAGGTCTGGAGACTGGCTAGGCCACTCTAGGACCTTAATGTGCTTCTTCTTGAGTCACTCCTTTGTTGACTTGGCTGTGTGTCATGCTGAAATACCCATCCACAACCCATTTTCAATGCCCTGGCTGAGGGAAGGAGGTTCTCACCCAAGATTTGACATTACATGGCCCCGTCCATCGTCCCTTTGATGCGGTGCAGTTGTCCTGTCCCCTTAGCAGAAAACACCCCTAAAGCATAATGTTTCCACTTCCATGTTTGATGGTGGGGACGGTGTTCTTGTGGTCATAGGCAGCATTCCTCCTCCTCCAAGCACAGTGAGTTGAGTTGATGCCAAAGAGCTTTATTTTGGTCTCATCTGACCACAACACTTTCACCCAGTTCTTCTCTGAATCATTCAGATGTTTATTGGCAAACTTCAGACGGGCCTGTACATGTCCTTTCTTGAGAAAGGGGACCTTGCGGGCGGTGCAGGATTTCAGTCCTTCACGGCGTACTGTGTTACCAATTGTTTTCTTGGTGACTATGGTCTCAGCTGCCTTGAGATCATTAACAAGATCCTCCCGTGTAGTTCTGGGCTGATTTCTCACCATTCTGTCCAACTGTTGACACCTTCTCACCAAGCTGCTTGGCGATGGTCTTGTAGCCCATTCCAGCATTGTGTAGGTCTACAGTCTTGTCCCTGACATCATTGGACAGCTCTTTGGTCTTGGCCATGGTGGAGAGTTTGGAATCTGATTGATTGATTGATTGCTTCTGTGGACAGGTGTCTTTTATACAGGTAACAAGCTGAAATTAGGAGTACTCCCTTTAAAAGAGTGCTCCTAATCTCAGCTCGTTACCTGTATAAAAGACACCTGTGAGCCAGAAATCTTGCTGATTGATAGGGAATCAAATACTTATTTCACTCATTGACATGCAAATCAATTTATAACTTTTTTGACATGCGGTCTTCTGGATTTTTGTTTTGTTTTGTTATTCTGTCTCTCACTGTTAAAATATACCTACCATTAAAATTATAGACTGATCATTTCTTTGTCAGTGGACAAACATTAAAAATCAGCAGGGGATCAAATACTTTTATCCCTCACTGTATGTATGCCTGTCTATAGTGCAGTATTTGACTTTCTTAGCTCATTGAGCGACTTGTTCCGTTCCCTTCAAATTTATTTTAAATGAGCAGCCTTGGAAATTTTCAACACAGAGTTATATTCCGCTTTTAGTGATTTTTATTATCTTATGTGAATGCACTATCTTATGTTTGCTGTAGTTTTGCAGCTGTTGACAGTGGAACTCCAGTTCATGTGCCACGTGTTCAATATCATGGTAGTGTCCACTTCTGGAACACAGATCGCCCTGAAGAAGAGAGGAAAGGATCCCTCATTGTGCTCCCTCTCATTGATGCACAGCAGCGGGTCTTTGGTACCCTAAGCATCGACACTCTGAGAGATACCCGAGAGCGAAATATCTTCCTTACCCACGAGATTAGCTTTTACCAGGCATGTATCTGTTTCAATGCACAAGGAAATATCCTGAAAGTACATGTCATTCACAAAAGAAAAAAAGAGACAGAAGAATTGGTTATAATGCCATAACTCAAAGCCTTTTGGAAAAAGGTGCCTTTACTGGGTATGTGCCAAGTGAGCATAAAACAATAAACTCAATAATACATAATATGGCACACCAAGGGCTTCATGGGTGATATAACATATACATAGATCTGTAAAGGTTATATTGATATATAAAATGCCAAATATATAGAAAAGTATCCCAGAGTATGAAACGTATAGTGACACAGGACCAGTGGCGTACACATGACCCATGGGGCCCCGGTGCAAAAATTGATCCGTGGGCCCCCGCCCCCTCCTCCCCCGCGCTTACTCGGCGCGGGTCGGGGTCGCAACACATGGTGGCGGGCACCTGGTCGCAGGGGTTGCAGGGCCGCGACCCCGCGACCGCGGTATGCACACACACTTAAAGGACCACTACAGACACCCAGATCACATCAGCTCAATGAAGTGGTCTGGGTGCCAGGTTCCTCTAGTTTTAACCCTGCAGCTGAAAACATAGCAGTTTCAGAGAAACGGCTATGTTTCACTGAGGGTTAATCCAGCCTCTGGTGGCTGTCTCATTGACAGCCACTAGAGGAGCTTCCGCGATTCTCACTGTGAAAATCACAGTGAGAAGACTCTGAACGTCCATAGGAAAGCATTGAGTAATGCTTTCCTATGGGCGGTTTAAATGTGCGCGCGCCTCTTGCCGCGCATGTGCATTTCGGAGCTGAGAGGCGGACACTGGGGAGTCCGACGCTGGAGAAAGGTAAATGCTGAAGACACACACACACTCTCACGAACAGATGCATACACACTAGCTAACAGACACACACATTTACTGACAGAGACACACTCAGCGACAGACATACATACACATTCACTTACAAAACATACACTTTCACTGACAAACACACACTCACTAACAGACATCAAACACACTCAGTAACAGACACACACAGTAACACACTCACTAGCAGACACACACCCAATAACAGACACACACACTAACACAAACACACACACTAACACAAACACACACACTAACACACACACACACACTCACTAGCAGACACACACACCCAATAACAGACACATTCACTGACACACACACTAACACACGCACTAACACAAACAAACACTGGCACACACACTAACACACATACACTAACACACACTAACACACACATACACTAACACACACATACACTAACACACACACACACTAACACACACACACATTTTTTTTTCAAATTTAATCCCCCCAGCCTCCTTACCTTTTGGAGTGCTGGTGGGATTCCCTGGGGTCCAGTGGTGCTGCTGGGCTCCTGGGCGGCAGGTCACTGGGCGGGCGGGCGGGCTGTCTGGGCGGCCGGCGCGCGAGGGAGCACCTTACACTCTGTGCTTCCTCTTCAGCTCCCTCGCGCGCCACGTAGGGATGCCGGCGCCGGAAGATGACATCATCTTCCAGCTCCGGCATCAGTGCGGTGTGCGAGGGAGCTGAAGAGGAAGCACAGAGTGTAAAGTGCTCCCTCGCGCGCCGGCCGCCCAGACAGCCCGCCCGCCTGCCGGGGTCAGCAGGGCCAGCCTCGGGGGGCCCTGAGGTGGCCGGCTCCTGGGCCCCCCAGGGGAAGAGGCTGGCCCTGTGGCGTACATACCGGGTCGCAGGGGCGGCCGGGCCCCCTGGTGGGCCTGCCCGGTCGCGGCCACGACCCCTGCGACCCTGGTATGTATGCCACTGCACAGGACAGTAATACTATTATAGGAGATATTCTCAACCGTTCAGCACAGCCTAATTTTATACTTCATATAGATACGTGCACTTTGTGTATTTACAGTTGCAAGAAAAAGTATGTGAACCCTTTGGAATGATATGGATTTCTGCACAAATTGGTCATAAAATGTGATCTGATCATCATCTAAGTCACAACAATAGACAATCACAGTCTGCTTAAACTAATAACACACAAAGAATTAAATGTTGCCATGTTTTTATTGAACACACCATGTAAACATTCACAGTGCAGGTGGAAAAAGTATGTGAACCCTTGGATTTAATAACTGGTTAAACCTCCTTTGGCAGCAATAACTTCAACCAAACGTTTCCTGTAGTTGCAGATCAGACGTGCACAACGGTCAGGAGTAATTCTTGACCATTCCTCTTTACAGAACTGTTTCAGTTCAGCAATATTCTTGGGATGTCTGGTGTGAATCGCTTTCTTGAGGTCATGCCACAGCATCTCAATCGGGTTGAGGTCAGGACTCTGACTGGGCCACTTCAGAAGGCGTATTTTCTTCTGTTTAAGCCATTCTGTTGTTGATTTACTTTTATGTTTGGGTCATTGTCCTGTTGCAACACCCATCTTCTGTTGGGCTTCAGCTGGTAGACAGATGGCCTTAAGTTCTCCTGCAAAATGTCTTGATAAACTTGGGAATTCATTTTTCCTTCGATGATAGCAATCCGTCCAGGCCCTGACGCAGCAATGCAGCCCCAAACCATGATGCCCCCATCACCATACTTCACAGTTGGGATGAGGTTTTAATGTTGGTGTGCTCTGCCTTTTTTTCGCCACACATAGTGTTGTGTGTTTCTTCCAAACAACTCAACTTTGGTTTTATCTGTCCACAGAATATTTTGCCAGTACTGCTGTGGAACATCCAGGCGCTCTTGTGCAAACTGTAAACGTGCAGCAATGTTTTGTTTGGACAGCAGTGGCTTCCTCTGTGGTATCCTCCCATGAAATACATTCTTGTTTAGTGTTTTACATATTGTAGATTCGCTAACAGGGATGTTAGCATTTGCCAGTGACTTTTGTAAGTCTTTAGCTTGCACTTTAGGAATTTTCTTCACCTCATTGAGCAGTCTGCGCTGTGCTCTTGCAGTCATTTTTATAGGACAGCCACTCCTAGGGAGAGTAGCAGCAGTGCTGAACTTTCTCCATTTATAGACAATTTGTCTTACCCTGGACTGATGAACAGCAAGGCTTTTGGAGATACTTTTATAACCCTTTCTAGCTTTATGCAAGTCAACAATTCTTAATCGTAGGTCTTCTGAGAGCTCATTTGTGCGAGGCATCATTCACATCAGGCAATGCTTCTTGTGAAAAGCAAACCCAGAACTGGTGTGTGTTTTTTATAGGGCAGGGCAGCTGTAACCAACACCTCCAATCTCATCTCATTGATTGGACTCCAGTTGGCTGACATCTCACTCCAATTAGCTCTTGGAGATGTCATTAGTCTAGGGGTTCACATACTTTTTCCACCTGCACTGTGAATGTTTACATGGTGTGTTCAATAAAAACATGGCAACATTTCATTCTTTGTGTGTTATTAGTTTAAGCAGACTGTGATTGTCTATTGTTGTGACTTAGATGATGATCAGATCACATTTTATGACCAATTTGTGCAGAAAACCATATCATTCCAAAGGGTTCACATACTTTTTCTTGCAACTGTATATATTACGTCACCTAGGTTAGCAGCTTGGTCCTTTTATATGTATATTTTACTTTTCAATACATTTGACCTGTATGTATTCTTTAGTTTTATAATCCTCTGACACCCAGTATCTCATTTAGGAATACAGGACAGGATATAATTATTTAAGTTTCTTTTTTTTGGTATATTTTATATACACGCAAAGCCTAGCAGACCAACATTCAGTTATCAATATTTTGTGGGATTGCATTTCCATTATTGTGCAGTCTAAAAAAAATAGAAGAAAATACCTCAGTTGCTTCCCCTGATTTAAGGGACATTTATTGTTTTTTTCTTAATTCCTGTAAATTATATCTGTCAATGTTCTGTTTCTTTCAATAACATGTACATGTTTCAATAGGGCATCACAAATATGTTCAGCACAGCATATCATCACATCGAGATGAAGACAGACATTCTACAGCTGGCAAGCAGTGCATTTTCCTGGATCTACAGCCGAGCTCCCAACATTCACATCATCAACACCTACCTCATGGAGCCCAGTATAGAGAAGGTAAGCAGAATGCAGTGCTTCCACACAGAGGCCAGGAGGTACTGTGCCTATATGGGAATGTACCCGCACATTAAAGAGTAGTGCAATTATAACATTAACAAAATCACTTAAATAATGTGGAGAGATGTATTTATAATTCTTGATTTTCTAGTCACAGGGTTATGTCTTTAGAAACATGATGCGCACAGATAACAGCACTGGAGTTTCAGAAATATACAGTTCTCCAGCCCTACTTCGCAGGCGAGATAACATTTTCAGGTCAGTACTTTTAAAGGGCAGCCATCAGTTTAAACATTGAAGTCACCTGTAACTTAACCCTTTTCACCTGATGCCCGACTGATGTTGACTTGATGCATTGTTGCAGTTGATCTGATGCTCTGTTTTCTTTTAAATATATATTTAAAATCCTATTTAATCATGGCGCACATTTCATTGGAGGAAGAGAAACAAAATTTTATTTAACTATGTTTAATGACAGAAAATGTTAGAGCTTAGACCAAAGACTGACAGGTAAGAGTTAAATACTGTGATTTGGATTTCTACATTTATTTTTGTTTTCATTTTTTTACCTATATTGGTAAAGATAATACAGATTAAACATAATATTAAAAATCACAGGAAATTATATTTACCCTTTAATTCTGGAGCAAGCATCCCACAGACTAGAGATAACTTTTTTACACTTCAGCAATTATGAGCTATGTTTACAAAGCCACCATTGTTTGGTGTTTTAACCCCTTAAGGACCAAACTTCTGGAATAAAAGGGAATCATGACATGTCACACATGTCATGTGTCCTTAAGGGGTTAAAAACTGTCTATTTCTTCTGTGGATCATTTTTAAAACTGTTTAGCGTATCGTTCAAATAGAAGCTTTCCAGCTAAAAATGGGCACATATAACACAGAGAGTCATTCGAGAATTCTCTGTATGTTGATCCCAAAATTTCATTGGCTGCTGATATCACATGATGGTAATAAAATTGAGAGGTAATTTATGCATGGTCACCCCCAATATGAAAAACTGTCAGGTGATTCCAGCTAGTCTTAAAAGGACACTATTGGTACTTGAACGAACTCATGCTCATTTGGGTTTTGTCTCATAGATCTGCTGTATTTTTTTTTGATAAAAAAATAACAAAACGTTTTTCATATTTCTCCAAAATAAGCTGCCTACTTAGTCACACCCCCTTTCACTCAATTTGTTCCAGGCTGACATATACATAAAAGTATTACTCAAATTAATATATATTTATAAAACACTGATATGGTTAGAGCAACCTTTGCTCTGCTGGTCTGCCCCCAGGCTTATGACACCCCAATGAGGTTTAGTTACACCTGTGGCAGTAGTGGAGTTAATATCACTATGTGCAGCATTTCATAGGTAGAAATAAGGTAGAGAGTAGACTGCAATACTCCATTACTGGACTAATATGGCTTCTGAACTATCATGATGCTAGGTTATGAAATATCTCCTTTGTAATGTGGGGTTTATTCACTTAGTCCTTGGAGATTTTTTTCCCAATTCATTTAATTAGAACTTTTGAGGGTGTGAACTCAGCATAGCTCACTGTTTGGTCAATAACCACCATATGCTAACAAGACATGCTTTCCCTATAGACCAATGATCTCTGGTCCCCAGATGTTGATGACCTACAACTCCCAGAAATGTTTGATTGCAGAAGTTAACCAGGGAATCATGAGAGTTGTAGTTTGGTAACATGGGGGAGTGGGAGAGGGTAATGCCTGCTATAGAACATGGCTCTCGCAGTTGAAATGGAAGCCTATGCTGGTCTGGATTTCTATAAGGGTTGGGTTTATTTATTTTAGAAAATTGTGTAAAATGTTTAATAATTTCAATCAATAAAATAGTTGTAAGTAAACTTGGGCCTCTAATTTGTTGTGCAGAGATTATCTCTTCAAGTGTGCTGATAGCTCAGAAGTAATCACAACAGATGCCTATGGAGAACGGCACATCGCTGTCCCCATACGTGACTTGGCAGGGCGGGCTATTGGGGTCTTGGATATCAGTACAAGACAGTGCTGTGAGCTACCAGCCCATGAGTATCAAGACCTTCAAAAGATGCTACAGATGTTGCAGGAAGCCTGCTATGAAATCCTTGAGCAAAAGAACACAGACAGCCAAGGAGAGCCACTCTTAGGTAAGAACCCTAAGTGCACACCTCAAATTGGCATGGATAGATTTGTGATGAAGGGCAACTGGCAAGCTACTTAATTTTTAGACATTAACATTAAAGGAATACTGTAGCCCTAGGAATATGTTTGTATTGTTTTACTTACCTTACTTACCTTTTCTACCACTACTGGCCTCGCCTTCTTAGCTGCAGGATTAAAACCTGGGTGGAGGGGAAGAACACTGCACCCAGATCACTTTGTTGGGTTGAAGTGGTATGGGTGCGTATAGTATCCCTTTAATTCTGTTTTGGCTTATCAGCTATTAGTTATCTCTCTGATCTGAAATAAGAAAATAATAAAATAGCTAACAAAATGACTGCGTTAGGGAAGTATTTAAATCTTACAGTGTCCAAGACAGGTAATCAGTTTGGGACCGACCTTCACTCTTCGTATGGGGATGGAGAATGGTGTCAAGTTCCATAAAGTACCTTCATGATTTCAGGGCCCTCATTAAACACCCTGACGTTGTCTTAGGTTGCTTTGTGGCTAATCCCACTATGTTTAACTACATGCAACATATAGGGTTGCAATACACACATTGTGATTTAAACTGACATTTAACAACAAATGAACCCCTTTCTTACCATATAATTAGATATGATATTTTTCATTGCAGTATTTTTGCAATATATATACTGGCCACTAGATGGTGCCATTGTATATAGAGTGAAACAAAAGTAACACGCATTTAAATTGTAAAAAAGAGTCATAAGACAGCTCTACACATTTTTGAACCAATATAATATTTGATTAAGCTCCATTATTTCAGTATGCCAATATCTTGAATGTATTGCTCCTCTCACAGGAATTTGAGTCTTTTGATTGTGTGCATGTGTGTGTGGCACGGTGCCTCCTTGAGGGTTGCCTGCCACTTTTCCTCTCTTCCACTTGCCAATCTGACTGCCAGCTTCTGGGAAACCAAGGTGGTAGAATTTTGGGGTGGATTTGGCGGCAGGTACTTCCAGCAATGGGGCTGCTTGTGCCCATTTAGTGGGCAGAGTTTGACATAATTGTGGTAGAGGCACCGTGGGAATAGCAATGGTGTGGCAATAGGGCTTCTAATGAAGTGGGTGGTTCTAGGCTAGCCCAGCCCAAGCATTGTGTTCATACACATCACACTCAGTGATCGACATAATAAGTACACCTGTACATGCACCTGCAAATATTCAATTGTGCAGTGGCAGCTCATTCACAGGAACAGGTAGGGAGATGAATCCCCACCTGATTTTGTTGCAAAAAAAAATCCCAAAACATATCTATTGGCATTGTAAGGACTACTGATAAGTGTTTGTCTGAAAAAAACATGATAAACATGATATCTGATACTTCTGCAGTTTTCCCCTTTATTGAGGACTGTAAACACAGCTGGTTTTAAACATGGTATTAGGTAAAGTGGTTACAGCCCAACAAGTCAGGAGGGACAGCGCTACACCATCTTTAAACTTCACCACCCACCACTGCAATCACGTGGCAGCAACTTAATGCAAAAACACATGCCCAGATATGGGGATTTGTTTGAATTGTTGCTCAAACCAAAAAGAACAGGTAAGATATTTGATCTAAGTGACTTTGACTGTAGGATAATTGTTGGCGCCAGAAGTTGGTGTCAGAAGCTGTTGATCTATTGTAAAGTAACACCCACCTCTGGTCCTGCCTTGTTCCCTTCTATGCTCCAGTTTGACTGGGCTTGCTTTAAGACACTTCCCTCCATGACACCAGGATGCTTGCTTTAACCCCAGTTCTTAAATGTTTGAATAGAGTCCTCTTCAGTCTCCTCTACAATGAGGTGAGTTAACGGTACTCTTATCCTTCCATCTACAGACACAGTCTCCAATAGCCTGTAGTGAGTTCTAAGTTTAAAACAATCCAAGGCGAACCCAACTAATTTCCCTGTATGTATGTATGTATATAATTTGTGCATAAGACAGTACAGAATTACCTTCACTGAGAATATTGTTCCTGTTTTGCTACCAAGAGAAAAAGAGAGTATTATTAGAGTTACTTGTACCCACATTGCTCAAACCGTAATTGCCCATGTGATACTTTGTGTTCTTGTAGAAGCAGAACAAGTTCCAGGTCAGAAGCGGGTGGGAGTCTTATTCCATCGCTTTATGCTGAAGGACCTGCGCCAGTGTGTCAGTAAGCTGGATTATCGATCCTTTGCAGAGCTGAAGAGCTACAAGGAGCCACCATCTATGGTGCACAGTATACTCAAGGCTGTTCTACTACTTTTTAGTCCAGACTGGGCTGAATCTGAAGAGATTCACAGTTGGAATCAGTGTAAATTGGTACGATTGCCTCTACTGCTTTGTTTTCAGTTTTTAATATGTACTATATAATGTGTGTTATGTTAGTGTGTGATGCAAATTGAATTCCAACTCCCAAAATGATTTGCGAGGCCTGATGTGCACATAGATAGGGTGCACAATATATGAAAAAATATATCAGTTAGACATGTGCAATTCGTTTAGTTACGAATGTGAATTCGGACGAATTTCGGGAAATTGACGAAGTGCCAAATCTGCAAAGTGCCGAATTGAACCAAATTGCCGAAGTGCCGAATTACTTTGGATTTCTGAAAAGTGGCAAAACAAGAGAGGGAGGGAAAATTACGTGAATGATGACAGGATTAGGGGTAGAAGTAGGACTAGGGGTATGGTTAGGGAGCCCTGCAGATGTTCCGAATTTAGAAGTCCTGAATTGCCGAAGTTCAGAATTGCCAAAGTTCTGAATTCCAGAAGTGCCCACATTTTTTACTTACCCTAATTTCCGAACCGAACCAAATTTTTGGCCCATGCACGTCCCTAATATCAGTTATCATATAGTGGTTAATTTGCTAAACATCAAATTGTGGTGTATTATAAACCAAATATAAACATTTAAATGTCCAACTAAGCCATAGTGACAGATTACCTATTAATGTAGCTTGAACTTGCAATTCAGTTCATTATACTTTTTAAATCCAACAATTCTTAAATCTTAAATATACTCATCAATATTTCAACACACAAATGTTCCCATTGTACCGAGGAAAGCATTATTTCTAGCTTGTTTTATATATATTATATATAACATATATAGTTACTTTATCCACCATGTTTTCAGGGACACATATCATGTATACATGTTGATTTGCAGCCCATGAAAAGGGCTGTCCTGTTGTGTGAGAAATTCAGAAAAAGGTGTATAAAATTAATTAATTAGGCAGAATATGCATTATACAAACTACAGGGTTGACAAAATACTGACATACTGACAAAATTACATATCAGAAAACATGGTGGATATGGTAACCCTGGTGGATATGGTTACTATATATATATATATATATATATATATATACATAGCATTTTTTCAACAGAAAACACATTTGATAACTATAAATACTCTGATTATGGTAACTGTAGGAAACTCTCCACTCTGTCTGAGGAATCCCAAACTGATGCATGTTCCACATTGCATATCAAAATCATAACATAAATTTTCATTCATATTTTTCAGAAAGTTAATACTGATTTGATCAGAAAGATTTTATCATTCGACCCAACAGCACAGTCTGTACAGATCAACCCAGAAATCCTTGCAAAGTATATTAAAGGTAAATAAATCAGATTTTGTCTTATCTCTTTCATATGCTATGTAGCCCAAATACTATGCCATGTTGCAATCATACAATGACCTATCACTTGCTAAGCAGCTCCTAATGCTCCAGATTCAACATCCTGGGACTACCTGGAAGAGCTGATTGTGTCTCTTCTGCATGGATAGTCCTGGGGGGAAATTGAATTCAACGCTGTCCGTGACAAGTGGTCGACAGTAGTTCCAATCCTGGGACTGCCCGATCCCATGGACTGGTGGGACATAAAGCACAGAGGGCATTACCTAGAACCACATGCCCAGCGATCACTGCCTCCATTCAAATATAGGACACAGTGAGAGAAAGAGCAATGCACAATGAACTATGTAGTCATGTAGTCAACCCACTTTATCCATGATTTGTGTTTGTGCCCACTCTTCTAGACATAGATTGTGTTTAGTATTATAACGGTAACCTCAGATTTGTCGTTGGGGGTCAGATTACATGATTTGTTTTATACTATAACATTATTGTCTAATGTAGCCCAACCTTGTATTTCAGGTATTCCTAGAGGAGCGGTCTGGAAGCATGGCTCCATTCCAGCGGAGCATCTCTATAACTGGACATTTACATGCATGTGTTTATTGGAGCTCACACAGAAAATGCAGAACACCCATCCTCCATCTCTGGATAATTTACCAGGACCACAGTGAAGAGTGGCTCATAATAAATCCTCTGGATAAGCAGTGATTCATATATTTTGCATATATTTTCGCCTTTAAGATATGAAAATATTTTGTTGCATGGTTTATTTGTTCCTTATTATTATTATAATTGTATTATTTATATAGCGCCATCCGTAGCGCTGTACTTGTAATTATATAACTGGCAAAGGTTTAACTACTTTGAGGATCGCTAACCTGAAACTCATGTGTTCCTACATTTTTGCCAGGGTCCTAAATTAATGTTGACCCATTTATTCTTTAATTGGAAACCTAGCTCACAAGATTTGTTCAACAAACTCCAAATTGTAGTAATATGAAACACAAACGGAAAAATATACGCAAAAATAGCAAAGGTATGACTATTGCTAAGTTGGAGGATTTTTTAATTCCTAAATTTTGCCATTGTAAATTTAATTTACTTCACTTTCAGAATTAAGTAGATACCCTTGTCAGTGACCCTTTTTTTGAGGGTCATATAATTATCTTTAAAATAAAATTAGTAGTAAAACACCTTAATAGACTCTTCCCATTACTGTAAGGGTCCCTTGTACTGAGGACAGCATTGCTACAATGGACAGCTTGTTTTAGTTGGAGCCAGATGGATACAATGTCTGTACCAGTTAGAACCAATAAAATGACATAAGGGGCCATTTTTGGTTTCTGATTCAGAGATTAAAATCTGCTTCTATAGCTGATTTGCTGCTGTTGTCCCAGTAATTCAATGATACACAGGTAGTTATAAAATGACACAAAGAGACACAAAAGACTATGCAGATTGCATTGAAGCATTGGTTGATATTTCACCAAGCCACATTGGTTACAGTGGGATAGGTAAGCTCGCGACAATGCACCGCCTGCTGCAGGGTTCGTCAGAGAGGATGCAAAAGATTCACAAGATTTGTCCCTGTCTGAGCTAGAGAAGGTAGCATAGAATTATGTAGACAAGGTAGTGAAGGACACATATTCCCTTCCATGACATTCATGCCTTGCCCCCCCTTCCCCTATTGACCATCTTCAATTGACAACAGAGAAACATCCACTATAAGTGCAGAGAATTGTTAGAAAGTTTGACAATCCATACCTCTCAACATTTCAAATGGACACAGAGGGACACTTTATTTATTTTGCGGTGTGAGAGTGGGTCTGACCAAGTGGCCGAGCTGTTCTGAGAAATTTTAGGTGACTTAGTAATTACAATTTATGCAACTAAAAATAAAAATGTAATTTAGAACAAGAACAATGTATTTTATTTACACACACTGATTAACAGTGTGTAAACATGTGACTGGTCAGTGTGGCTGCTGCTGTTGAGTCTATCTTGTCCCTTGCAAAATTTAGACTAGACATGTGCACGAGGAGAACATGTGTTTTAGCTGAACCATTCTTTCCAAAATTAAAAAAATATCTGGCAGCTGAATTTAGGCTCTGATATGTCGGTTCTGAATTTCGGTATGAAAAACTGTTTTGGGGAATGAATCAGATGAACCTAAAAAACATGAAAATGGGCCAATCAGTGTATTGCAGAATATAACTATTATTATATATTTTGCAGCACATTGATAGGAGCATTTTCCCACTATTTGGTTTGCAGTTCAAGTGACAAAAAGTAACCAATAGAGGGAATAACAGGAAAAGCAGTACCAATTGTTAAAAATATACATATATATAAATATATGAATTTAGATTGCATTTACTGCTCCTCCTTTTTTCTCACTTCTCACTTGATCTGTGAATAATATCAATATTTAGTGACTGTCCCCTGGACAAAAATTTTTCCCATAATTATTATTATTATTTTTTTGGCTCCATGTGAGGAATTCAGAACCACGAATGAAATTTACATACTCGGCCATTGACATCCGAACCACAAATGAAAATGACGTGCTCGGCTATTGGATGTTTGTTTGTTTATGATTTGGCTACATTCAGCTCGGAATTCACAAATTCGAATGATCAGCGAATTTGATCAGAGTTCAGGCAACTGCAGTTAAGAATGGAACCAATCTTTTTTTTTTAAATTTCAGACTTATACCAGCCCAAGATAAGTTTCGAGTAGGTCTTCATTTAAGGCTTTGGTATATTTGTCATCTTTAAGGCTAGTTTAGACCAAAATAATCCAACCTGGAAACTTGCTAGGTTGTAAAATGTTTCACATTCTGCCATTGTGAAGTTAAAAACTGCGATTCCTCTTTAATGTGCGCTGTATTCACTAAATGGTGTACTGTGCAGAATTAGCCGATCTACTTTGTGCATATCGCTAATTTTAGCTCTTTGTGCATCTCATGGTTTACGGAATAGTATCTTGTATTTTATTAAAAGTTCCAGAGGTTGTCTTTTTATTCTACCTTAATTTAAACTCTTAGCAGCTCTACTGCAGTGAAGTGGTTAATATATTTTGCATTCATAGTACGCAGAACATCATGTCTGACTCCGAGAAAAGATCCTATCTCTGTAATAAAGGATACTGAGCAACAGCAGTATTTTTTTAATAAAAGCAAAATTTGGGAAATTACATTTCTGTGTTATTTTATGGAGCTGATAAAGCTCTGTTTTACAATGCTGGGTCAGAGCTGTCACTTTGATTGTTCCACAATAAGAATCGCTTATTGTCACGGAGAACGGTAAGATTTTTTCTTACAGATCAATTTTATGCAATGACAATTAGATAGTGCCAGTTATATTTCCAGGAAAGATGTTCCACACAATATTGTGCAATAAATTATTTCTTCCCAAATGCTCTCTAAACCCCCACCCCCTCTTATTTGTAGGGCTTGTATTTATAAAAGCAAAGGCTAAATGTGTGCATTCAAACACTAACATTGCAGAAGATTGAAGTCATGGTGATTATTTATTAAATCATCTAGCAAATTATGGTAGGTCTTAATTTCATTGGCTCTAAAAGTTATAATACTTTTTTTTTTTAATCTCAAAACGCTCTCTTGAGATGCCCATTTGTTTTCACAAATCCGTGTCTTCTAACAAGTATTCATTAACCAAAACCGAGTAATCTGCGACCTTTGCTTAGTGATGTATTTGGGTTTGTAGTACTACCCTAGACCTATATGTAAGCGCTCACACAACCATGCATTGTCAAATCCACCATTTTTACCAGGACATTTATCCCACCTGCATGCTGTAGGTTGGTTAATGAATAGTGCGGCCTTACGGTGAGCAAAATTTGAACGTTGATAATTTTCTCCAATGCACGCAGGTAGAAGTGATATTTGTCCAAGACTCATGCAGCAGACCCCATACATTCAGCTACACACTCAATTTCTTTGTTTTTAGACTCAAAGTGACGGGAGGAAATACTATGTTTGCATTTACTTTACTCCTAACTATTGTTTTGATTTATGTCCCGTAATATTTACCCCTTGAGTGCCATGCGTGTGCCAGTTCGTTCCATACCTCATTTCACTTTTCTGTGAGATGAAGGGAAAACAAAATTGCCACTTGTCTGAAATGTATACTATTGAGTAAAACATTTGAAAATCAGCAATAACTTGTTTAACCTTTTTTCATGAGATGTTTTTTTCTTATTTTCATTTTATATTAAAGATATAGCAAATGATATTATAATCCAGTTCAAACAAAGAAATGGCAAACAATGCAAATGAATCAGAGAAATAGAAACATTGTTTAATTTCTTCTCCTCTTTCCTCTCTCCTCTTTCCATGATTACTCTATGCTGACTGCCAGGTGCAAAGGACATAGCTTATAATAATAATGAACAGGGAGCAAAGATGGAGGTACCCAGTTGTAGGGAAAGAGATGTGTATTTGAAGACAGTAGCAATACTGTCAGGGTTGCAAAGGTAGGTATTGCGACCAGGCCTTTGAGTTCCAGTTCAGGGCCCTCTTGCAAAAGCGTTATTTATTATATTACAGAGTTCCGGGCTGCCACTGTCACGTGTGCTGGGGTGTAACTATCTCTCAGCACACAAGTGCTAATTACTCCAGCTGAAACACTACACATCCAGACTCCTACTACCATGACCACTTCTAAAACCAGAACTGGTCATTGTGGTTGTAGGAACGTAGGGGGATCCTTAGCCAGGTCCCCCTATTTTTTTAATTATTTTTTTATTTTTGAAGCAAAAAAAAAAAAGTAAATGTAGACGTATCCATAAAATAACATATACATAGAAAAATTAAAATTTTTAGGTAATGGTAAATCGAAGATATCACAAGATTATAGTTAAAGAAAATAAGAAAACAGCTTACCATATGCACTGATAGAATTCTCAGGCTGAAGTCATGAATGACCAATTATATGACATGCTAAGAAATTGTCTGATCAGCGCCTCAGTGTGACCGCACCAGATCAGTGCGGTCACACTATCGCAGTGCCCGATCGACACCACGATTTGATCGCATCTGATCGGTGCAGTCACACTAAAGGAGGGAGAGGTTACTCACCTCACCTCCAGAGCCTCTCCCTCCGTGCAGTTTGTAATTCAGTGGCTGGGTCCAGTCAGGGCCAGATTAAGAGCCCAGTGGACCTGGTGCTGACAATTATGACGGGCCTAATTACAGAATCATATCGACCAAAAACAGTAAAACACTCCCAAGCGTCATGTATCTGATGGAGATGGTGCTGGAGAGAAAGAAAACAGCAGCTATAAGAAAAAACATACCCTAGGCTAATCTCTCACTAATTTATGTTTTCATCTTTCAAGTAAATCCATAACCCCTAACAGCAGTGTCCAGTCAAGCAGGAAGTCAATGGGCACGGTAAAAGGGTGTGCCACTGACACAAATCATGTAACCTGCCAAAAGGGGCGAACATGCCCAAAAAGAGGATATGTCTGCCCAAAGAATTAGAAGGCCAGCCTGGTGTGAATGCATGTCATTCATCATGCAGCTGGCCAACTAAGGGCATACTATGCACCCTGAGCTTGGCATAAATGCATCTAATGATGCGTTCGCTCAACGCTTTCTAAGGACTGTCCCCTAGCACTCGCTGGTCCACTTGTCTCTTTACCTTCTTACTAGCAGGCAGAAGCTCCTGGTATATAGTCTGGGACAGAGAAAAGCTGTATGTAGTGAGTGTAGAAGAAAGGGAACATGCCACATTGTTAGAGAGACCAAAGTCAGCATTACCTTAAAGGATCACTATAGGGTCAGGAACACAAACATGAATTCATGACCCTATAGTGTTAACACCACCATCTAGCCCCCCTGGGCCCCTCATGCCTCCATAAATATAGCAAAATCATACTGTAGTCAAGCTTGAAGCTGTAACTCTGCATGCTGTTAGACTCAGAAAAACAAGCAGTCTGCTGACATCATTAGATGTGGTGGCCTAATCCAACCACAGTGCTTACCCATAGGATTGGCTGAGACTGACAAAGAGGCAGATCAGGGGCAGAGCCAGCATGATTCAAACTCAGCCCTGGCCAATCAGCATCTCCTCATAGAGATGAATTGAATCAATGAATCTCTATGAGGAAAGTTCAGTGTCTGCATGCAGAGGGAGGAGACACTGAATGTTTGGATGCATTTTAGGCAGCCATGACCCAGGAAGGATCTCTAACAGCCATCTAAGGAGTGGCCAGTGAAGTTATCACTAGGCTGTAATGTAAAGACTGCATTTTCTCTGAAAAGACAGTGTTTACAGCAAAAAGCCTGACAGTAATGATTCTACTCACCAGAACAAATTCAATAAGCTGTAGTTGTTCTGGTGACTCTAGTGTCCCTTTAACTATATTCATTGTCAGCCAGTCCACACAAGTTTTGTTCCCATACATCCCTCTTAAGTTTCCATACTTAAGTAAGAGTATGTGAAAAGTAGTTAGGGTTGCCACCTTTCTTGGAAAAACATACCGGCCTTGCTAATTTGCATAATTAAATATGTATGGTGACATCACATGATGTAAATCACAAGGAGTGACATAAGAGAAAATGCTGTAAAATCACCAAAAAACTACTTAGTTTGATTCTGCTGTATAGATGGATTCCTCCCAGTGGCCCCATGTCTCCCAGTGCCCCCATGTGTCGATTACTTCAGGTCTCAGTGTTCCTATGTATCAGTGTCTCAGTGCCCCATGTCTCCCAGTGTCCCCTAGTGTCGTGTCCCCAGGTCTCCCAGTGATCCTATGTATCACAGTGTCTCAATGCCCCATGTCTCCCTGTGTCCCCATGTATCCCAGGGTTCCCATGTCACTAGGAAGACGGGAAGACCTGGGGACACGGGGACACCTAGGGTCACAGAGACACCAGTGACACTGGGAGACTAGGGGACTCTGGCTGGGATGCATGGGGACACTGGGAAAATAGGGGACACTTGAAGACATGAGGACACAGACACCAGGGACACAGACACTAGGGACACTAGCTTGGAGACATGGGGACATGGCTGGGGGACATGGGAAAATTGAGACATGGGGGCACTGGGAGACATGGGGACAAGGAGACACCAAGGCCACAGACACTAGGGACACTAGCTTGGAGACATGGGGACATTGAGACATTTGAGGCACTGGGAGACATGGAGGCACTAGAAGACATGGGGACAGTGAGACATTGGCAGACTGGGGGCACTGGGAGACTAGGGGGCACTGAGACACCAGGGACACTGGCTGGGAGACATGGGGACAGGGACGGCGCTTCCTATAAGGCGAACTAGGCAGTCGCCTAGGGTGCCATACTGGAGGGGGCGCCCTGCTCCCCCATCGCCGGCCCTTTAAATGCCACAGCCGCCTGAGCGCTCTATAGAGAGCGCTCAGGCGGCTGCCGCAGTGCCTCACCTCCCCTGCCCTGTAGCGTGGCCGAGCTCCTTTCTGGTCCGCGACCCGGCGGGACTGACAGGAAGTGCACACTCAGTGTGCACTTCCTGTCAGTCCCGCCAGGTCGCGGACCGGAAAGGAGCTCGGCCACGCTACAGGGCAGGGGAGGTGAGGTGAGGAGATGCTGATGAGAGGGGGAGGGGGGGGAGATCATTTGATGGGAGGGAGGGGGGGATGAAATGATTTGATTTATGGGGATGAGATGACGGATGGCAGGGAGGGGAGATTATTTGATGGGAGGGAGGGAGATGTGATTTGATGGGGGAGATGATTTGATGGGACTGAGGGGAGATGATTTGATGGGAGGGAGGGGGGGGAGATGATTGATGGGGGGGATGATTTGATGGGAGGGAGGGGGTGATTTGATGGGGAGGGGGGGGATGATTTGATGGAAGGGGGGAGATGGATTTGATGGCAGGGAGGGGGGGAGATGATTTGATGGGAGGGAGGGGGGGAGATGATTTGATGGGGAGGGAGGGGGGGGATGATTTGATGGTGGGGGGGGAGATGATTTGATGGGAGGGAGGGGGGATGATTTGATGGGAGGGAGGGGGGAAGATGACGGATGGGAGGGAGGGGAGGGAGATGATTTGATGGGAGGGAGAAGAGAAGATTACGGTGGAGAAGAAGCGATTACAGGGAGGGAAGGGGGGAGAAGATTACAGGGGGGAGAAGAAGAGGAGAACACAGGGAGGCGGGGGAATAAGAGGAAAACATGGGGGGAGAAGAAGAGGAGAACACGAGGGGTGGGAGATGAGAACGTAGGGGAGGGAGAGACCACTAAAGGAGGGAGGGGGCGGTGGAGAGACCACTAGGGGAGGGGTGTGAGGAGAGACCGCTAAGGGAGGGGGGTGGAGGATAGACCACTAGGGGAGGGTGGGGGGAGAGGAGAGACCACTAATGGAAAGTCGGGGAGAAAAGGAGACCACTAAGGGAGGTGGAGGGGAGAGGAGAGACCACTAAGGGGTAGGGGAGATCTCTAAGGAATGGAAGGGAGAGCTCTATAGGACAGGGGGACAGGGAGCTCTTTCACACCACGCACACACACACACACACAATGCATCCCTATACACACAGAAACACAACATGCTTCCCTTACACACAGAGAAACACACAATGCAACCCTTACACATAAAAGACAATGCATCCTTTGCACATATACACAGAAACACACAATGCCCCTTACACACACATGCAAACACACACTGCTTCTCTTACACACACAGAAACACAATGCATCTCTTACACACACTCAACGCACCCCTTACAGACACACACACTGCATCCCTTACATACACAGAAACACACTTTGCATCCCTTATGCATACAAACACAGATTCACACAATGCATCCCTTACACACAACAAGAAACACACAATACATCCCTTATACACACACACACACTGCTTCCACTACACACAAACACACTGCATCACCTACACAAACTGGTATCCCTATACACTACATTCCGTAAGCACACACATTAGATCCTCTACAGTAACACATAACAAATCCCCTACACACTCTACTCCCTGTGAGTTCATGGGTGGAACATGTAGGTGGACTTATGGGTGGGCTTTATGGGCATACTCACCGTCAGGCCCTGGGGCCCAGACCTTGAGCTATGTAAGAGGCCCCAAAAAATGGAGCTGCTTCCCGTTCTCCCAGAACATTGAATTTTGTGACCACAGTTACAAACAGCCTCCAGAGATCCTGTTCTACACCAGACCAGTGGAGCCAAACTGCAGCCAGAGCCCATCACCATCCTCATCTGATTGTAAGTAGGCAATCTAGTATATTATTAGTGACACTAATCTCTAATGTACCTCACATTAAATGGACACTATAGTCCCCACAACCACTGCAGCTTAATAAAGTTGTTCTGGTGTCTATAGGTCTATAGTTTGTCCCTGCAGGCTTTTTAATGTAAACACACACTGTGTGCAGCACTGGCATTAGTTCATATGGGTGGGGCATTGCGATGGGGCAAATCCTTCTTTGCCTAGGGCGGCAAAAATCCTTGCACCGCCCTGCATGGGGACACTGGGAGACATGGGGACACTGTCTGTGTCATAATGTCTCCCAATGTCCCTTAGTGTCTCAGTGTCCCCATGTCTCCTTGCAGCCTTTCCCCCCATCCCTTACTTCCCTGAGCTGTAGGCTGTCTCTGCAGGGTGGGAGTTGCTGTCTGGACTCTCTGTAGCTGCACCCCTGCAGATCAGTGAGTATAGATAGGCAGGGAGGGATATGCTGGAACGTCCTATCCCTGCCTGTCTCCACACACAGTGACCCCTACTGGCCAGTGCTGGTATTGCATAGTAATCTCTTGTTTATACTGAGAAAAATACCAGCATTTGTATTGCCAGTATCACTGTACTATTGGCACCAGCCAGGCAGCCTCAAATACTGGCTGTGCCAATAAAATAAAAGCCAGATGGAATCCCTAAGAATAGTGTGTGAAAAATTTTTTTTTATTTTTTTTTATAAATCAAAGGGCCTATTCCATGGGCCTGGGCCTGGAGCTGCAGCTCCATCAGCCCCTATGTTAATCCGGCCCTGGGTCCAGTGTTAGGAAGGACGCCGGCCACTGCAAGACGGCACTATATAATGACGCTGCCCACAATGACATTAGTGACGTGAACATGCGTGCGGCGTCACATTTTCACCGTGCACGCACATTCTGGGGTCATGGGACCCAAATCAGCCAATAGCAGGACTTACTGGGTTATTTAAACCCAAACCTGCAGTTGTTCAGTGCTCTGTCGTGGTTTTCATCCTGTTGGTTATCCGAGAGCGCGTTCCTGATTCTGATATTTGGTTTTTGATCTTGGCTTGGCTGGACTTCCCGTATTTCTGGTATCCCTGACCCTTTGGCTTTGTTCTTTCCATATTTGTTCCTTTCTTTATTCCTGACCTCGGCTCGTTACTGTTTATTCTATTACGTTAATTCCGGCCATTCTAAGGCCCGGTAATACGTTGTTACTGTTTCTATTTGTTACGTGTTTTACTTAATTCTGCGTGTTGGGCAACTGGTTCGTCCTGACAGAAATACTGTGTTAAAATAAGTGATCTCTGTGTAGACAGAAAGAAGCTCGGCCAGAGCATTTGTATGAGGCCACTAGAGCCACCAACTGAAAACCACTTAAAGAGCAGCTGAGGCACATCAAAATAAACCTAAAAAAGGAAATATGACAAAAGAAAAAAAAAACATGCTAGAAAACCGTTCCCCAGCAAAGTCCACTGGCCTACACTCCCAGTCCAAATGGATCTCTCAGGATGCATCAAGGAAAGCATGCTCGTTTGACCCAGGCCTTTACATGAGCCCACACCCATGGACCATGCCAGTTTTGATGGGCAAATCAAGATCTCTGGGGGGTCCCTCCCAGATTGTGAGTGGTGTCGAAGAGGATTTTCCTCCAAAGCCCACAGCCCAGGTAAGAAGCTGCCATAAGGTGCCCCTGCTGTAGTCAGGTAGTCTTCTCACCTCAGGTAATATGTTTGATGCAAAGGCTTGTCAGGAGGCGAATCCCGTGAGCGCTGAATGTCTAGAATCAGGAGCAGATCTTGTCAAATGCTTCATTAAAGGATTCCAGCCATGCAGGTTGGGGCAAAGATGGCAGTCGGAGATTTTTAACTGTGGCTGTATCCACCGTAGATTGGTACCACCTTTCCACTGGTCTCCCTCAACAGCAGGTTAGTCTTCAGTGGGGACCAGGATAACCCCGCCAGTCCAAGGGAAGGGGGGGACCTGCTATAAACACAGTAAACGAGGAGACTATATTTAAAAGAAGAAAAACTACCACAACAAGAGGACGTAGTCTAAAATTAGAGGGACAAAGGTTTAAAAATAATATCAGGAAGTATTACTTTACTGAGAGGGTAGTGGATGCATGGAATAGCCTTCCAGCTGAAGTGGTAGATGTTAACACAGTGAAGGAATTTAAGCATGCGTGGGATCGGCATAAGGCTATCCTAGCTATAAGATAAGGGACTAATGAAAGTATTTAGAAAATTGGTCAGACTAGATGGGCCGAATGGTTCTTATCTGCCATCACATTCTATGTTTCTATGCTATACGTGATGTCGTGAAGGTAGAGTGTCCCAGAAGACTGCAAACACAGAAGCTTTGGATCACTTTCAGGGTTCCAGAGATCCCTGTTTTAGGGCAAAGGAGCAGCATCAGCAGTCAATTACATTGTTAGCCTTAGATTTCTGACTCAGGAGGATTAAGCTATTTGCTGTTATCAGTGAAAAAGGCCATAATCTGTTGGACCTGCTCTAACATGCAGTGAAAAATCTACACACACACAAAAAAATAATAAAGTATGGTGATGCTAGGTAACAATACTCTTTATCTATGACATTGCGTCTGGAGTTGAGCACATTATTTTTATTATTATTGTATTTATGTTTTCTGGTTACACAATCAATAAAAAATACTAAAGGGATTAAAATAGTAACGTTGGGGGCGTGGCTTGGCGCTCGGCGAGGACGGACGCATGTGAGAGAGGCTCCGTCCTAAATTGGCCCAAAAGCGACTGAATTAGCAACGGTGACCACCAAACTTCACCACAAACACCCCTCAATATTGTCCAACAAAAGGGGAAAAGGAATCCTGACAGCCCCGAAAAAAACGGATTCTTTACGGCCCGAAACCAACCGCCAAAAGCCCAGAGCACGTCGGACCAAGATGGCGACGACACACTCCCTCTACAGGGATCCCCTGGGGAAAGAGCTCTCCCAGTCACTCAAGCTATTCTCCAAGCATGCCTTGACGAAATGTCAGAGAAATTGCTAAACAACTTTAACAAATCTATTTCGGACTTACGAAAAGATGTCCAAGAATTAGGAGACCGGACTGCCCATATGGAAAACCGCATTGGGCGAATACGCGGAGGCACACAATGATATGGCAGATCATGTCCAGCATCTGGAACAGGAACTGTCCGCGTGCCAAAACAAACTCATGGACCTAGAAGACAGGTCGAGGAGACAAAACATACGCTTCCGAGGTATACCTGAAGCAGTTAAGCAAACAGACATAGTAGCACACCTTACGGATTTCTTTAAGACTCTGGCTCCGGATCTCCCTGCAGACGTCCTCCTCATTGATAGGGCCCATAGGGTTGCTAAGCCTAAATTCCTCCCGGAAGAAGCCCCCAGGGATATACTCGCCTGTCTTCACTACTTCCATGCAAAGGAAGCGCTAATGCAGGCATCCAGGCGGCGGAGGGATCTCCCGGCCCCATATAACACCATTCAACTATACTCCGACCTCTCAGCAAGAACCCTGCAGAAGAGGAGAGAATTTAAATTGATCACAGATGCGCTCCGTCTCCACGATATGCCGTACCGTTTGGGACACCCAGTGCGCCTCCTCATTCACAAGAATGGAGTCTTCAATACCATCATCACTCCAGAGGAAGGCAAGAAAGTCCTGAAGAAATGGGGAATACCATTTCTACCCAGCGCCCACCCACGACAGGACAATCTGCAACACCCGACCAAGTTACACTCTGACTGGAAGAAGCCGCGAGCTGGAGGGAGAGATTAAGAAGATTAAGAAGTTGTGATGAAGATCCATATGCCATGAGACTCACTACAGCAGCTGAAATGGCGTGAAAGCCATCCAGATACACAGTTTCCACGCAATTGGACTCAACTGGACTAACGGTGTTTTACACCAGATTGTACGATGAACTGCCATGAACACAGGTGACTGTCCGTCGGACAGGTGAATGTGCTGCCCCCCCATGCACTCACACCACACTAGCCTGACACATAAATGCTAGCAACACTGTCGCACCGTTCATGCATCATGAACCATGTACACACATTTGATATGCATTCAGATGGAATTACAGGGGTCTATTGTTAGTGCATGCCGCTTGTAGGCACAACAGCAACCCACCCACACATATACCACACTATGGGGGAGTAGTCAGTGTACTGGAACACATCAGCGCAGCACAGGCCTGATGCTTCATATTGTTATTATACTTCAATTGTTATTATATGCCAAAGGGATAAAGTATTTATGAAAATATAAAAAAAAAAAAAAAAAAGTATGTTCAACAAAGCTCCTGTTCCCATGTACAACCTCACTGTATGTTATATTCTCACTGACGCTAAGTACCATACTGTATTTGACGGTTAGACATGTTGATATGTACACACAGTTAGTTCCATGAGCCATAACGGACCATTGACTTTAGCAGAAGCCACCACAAACAATTTCACTGTAAGCCATGAGGGCAATGTCCATAGTTATATTTGGTCACAGCGACTAAATACGGCCAATAATTGGTTTGCATCACACTCTTCAACCACGCTCCTAATGGCACCGATGTTCGGTTCCCCAACCCACAAATGGGTTATAGTTCTACTACCGTTGTTGTTCGCACACTCTCAGTGCGACTCATCCTTAGTCCCCCCCCCTCCATCCCCCTCCAACCCCACCGATAGAGACCCTGAAATTCCTACACTAGGCAACAGAGTAAGCAATTTGTGGAGGAAGTTGACCGCACGATTTGCCGATAAACATATTACGCCCACCATCACACATATTGGCACCAATCTCTGCAATATGCATCCACTACACCAACAGAGGATTACTTCACAACCTACGATGCACCCACAACTATTCTCACACACAACCACAGCCGCTTGCACAGCTTCCACCGTTACACTAGTATATGAAAATACAAAGTTATAATGTAAGAGGGATGAACACCCCATACAAGAGGCACTGCCTCTTCAAGGATCTTAAGAGGGACCAACCTGATGTAATTTGCCTGCAAGAGACACACTTTAAATCCCCACCCATAATGAAACAAGCCCTATACCCACACCAATTCCACGCCACGTCGGGGAAGAAAACTGGGGGCACATCAATTCTGATCAGCAACACGGTCTCCTTCCAACACCATGACACAAATACAGACAAAGAGGGAAGGTACCTCATAGTCCTATGCACAATCAACAACACTAAATATACTCTGGTCAATGTATACGCACCAAACACGAACCAAAGGAATTTCCTTCATAAAATACTAACTTTACTACAACCGATTCAGGAAGGCATTCTTGTCCTCTGTGGGGACTTCAACCAAATTTTAGACCCCCAAAGCGACACGACCTCTAACGCAACCAAAGCGTCTCAGACCAGACACTATAGGGCATGCACAACATACCTCAAACTACTGGATAGCCACAAATTGTACGATGTATGGAGGGTCCTTCACCCACAGGAAAAGGACTACACATACTACTCTTCCACACATAACACGTACACCAGAATAGATAGATTTCACCTAGAGAGCCAACACCTAGACCAAGTGCTCGACTGTTCTATAGGCCAGATCTCGTGGTCTGACCACGCCCCACTGACATTAACCCTAAAAGACAACTATGACTATAAACACAAGAGCCCGTGGAGACTAAACGAAACATTGTTGACGGACGACTCCTTTACTAAGCAACTTGAAGAAGCCATCTCGGAATTCTTCGTACTGAATAACACAGGGGATACATCAGCCAGCACTGTATGGCAAACACACAAAGCAGTCATAAGGGGACTACTCCTGAGGAGAGCAGCACATCTAAAACGTTCCAATCAAACCCAGTGGCTGACATGGCACAAACAACTAGCGGACCTTATGGTAGCGAATAAAACACTTCCAACAGCGACAACACAAAAAGCTATTAGGGACATTGTGAACAAAATCAAACTTCACACTTTAGAACGAGTAGGTTTTAATCTCCGCAAACTTAATTCCACACACTACGCACAGGGAAGCAAAGCCAGCAAAACATTAGCTGCAAGACTGAAAAGAAAAGAAGCTAATGCAAAAATTTCACATGTTTTCATCCACGACAACAAAAAAGTAATTTCCCCCATTGATATCAGTAACACGTTCGCTGCTTACTACGACAAACTATATAATTTGGCACGATCCAATCAATTACCCACCCCCACTGAGAAAGACATAGAGGCCTATCTACGTGATATACCCCTTCCGACTCTCACACGAGACCAATCGGCCCAACTAGTTAGCCAAGTCACGGCAAGTGAAGTGGTTGAAGCCATACGCACCCTGCCTAAAAACAAAGCACCAGGCCCGGACGGATTTACGAATGCGTACTACAAAAAATTTGCAACTCACCTAGCTCCCTCTCTAACCTCACTTTTCAACTCGGCCACCCAGGACAAGACGCTCCCAGCAGACCTCCTTTTGGCGCACATCATTACACTTCCTAAACCTGGCAAACCACCGACCCACTGTCCAAACTTCAGACCAATTTCCCTACTAAATACAGATGCTAAATTATACGCGAAAATACATGCCCGACGCCTAGGGTCGACACTCCCAACACTGATCCACGACGACCAGGTGGGATTTGTAGCAGGTAGACAGGGAGCAGACAATACGCGCAAAGTACAAGATCTGATCCACAGCATAAGGAGGAAAAACCTCGACGGTCTCCTAGTCTCGCTTGATGCGGAGAAAGCCTTTGATAGACTCAACTGGAAATTTCTCCAAGCGGTCTTGTCAAAATTCGGCTTCCCCTGCCAATTCACGAACACTGTAGCGGCACTCTTTAGCAACCCGACTGCGAGAGTCCTAAATGCAGGATTTCGCTCTAACGAATTCACTATAAGCAATGGCTCTCGACAGGGCTGCCCCCCATCCCCACTGATATACGTTCTAGCCAAAATTAGAGCAAACTCCGCAATCCACGGGATACCACTCAACCAACAGGAATATAAATTAAGTATCTTCGCGGACGACATATTCCTAACCCTTACACAACCATTAATTTCCCTACCCAACCTTATGCACCTCATTACAGAGTATGGGCAGCTTTCATACTACAAACTTAATGTTACTAAAACACAAGCCCTAAGCCTCAATATAAATAACACCCAACTGGACACTCTCACAAAATCATTCCCATTGGACTGGAGAAACGACTACCTTACGTTTCTGGGAGTCAAAATAGCTAAGAACCCCACTTCCATGTTCCAACTAAATTACCAACCTCTACTAACAACCTTTAAAACCACTCTAGACTCTTGGGAGGGGAAATATTTATCGTGGGTGGGACGCATAGCGGCAATAAAAATGTCTCTTCTGCCAAAATTGCAATACCTGTACAGAACGCTACAAATACCGGGGAACTATATCAAAAGTCTCACGAAACTACTCATAGGCTTCACTTGGCAACACAAGAAACCTAGAGTAGCAACTAAAATACTAAAAAAAACAATAACCCATGGAGGATTAGGCCTCCCGGACTTGGCAACATATTACAAAGCAGCGGCACTATCAGTGATACCGCACTTACGCCAACGGCCCTTATCACCCCAATGGCTAAAGATAGAAAACTATTGGGCCCAACATCCATCATTATACTCCATATTCTGGACCCCTAAAAGCCACAGGAAAGACACCACACATCTTCTACCAACGACCCAATGTCCTAGAGTCAGCAATACTGACACTTAACACACACCCTTGGACACAGGGGGGCGTTGAAATAATTGGTCAGCTGTACAACGAAAAGGGTCTCCGACCCTTCCCGGACTTACAGCAAGAATTCAACCTCCCACACAATCTAATCTTTGCATACCTGCAAATAAAATCATACCTGACCAACAATGAACCCAACAGGGTAGGCACTACACTATCACAGCATATGTCGGAATTTGAAAAGTCATGTGTTACTACAAAGCCCTTTAAAAAACTAATCTCCTTGAATTATAAAACCCTCCTCCAAGAACCAAATGGGCTCAATGACACGCACATACAGGCATGGCACAAGGAACTAGGGAAAACCATTCCTCAGGAACACTGGGCCAAAGCTTACTCTTCACACAAAGGCGTTACCTCTTGTGCTAACCATCTTGAGTTACAACGCAAACTACTATACAGATGGTACCTAGTACCTACCAGGATCAATCAGATATGGCCAAACTCCTCCAACAAGTGCTGGAGATGTGGACAAGCCAAGGGCAATATGTCACACATATGGTGGTCATGCCAAGCCTTACAACCATTCTGGAAAGAGATCCAGACCATTCTGACTGACGCAATCCAAACACAAATATCACTTACACTGGAGCTATGCATCCTATTTATACCACCTGACACGATCACTAAAGATAAGTGGGCAATCTCATATCACATCTTAATCTCAGCAGCAATGTGTATAGCGAGATTATGGAAGTCCTCAACACCCCCCAACCGAAACTCTCTGTTGAACCAAGTGGAACTCAATTGGAAATATGAAATGACATACGCACACCAATTTGGTATGAAAAAACACTTACACCATGCCCACAATAGGTGGACTGAATACCTAGATAACTCCACGACTGGTAACAACCAAGGCCACAGCAGAGGACCATAAATCAATGGCTACCTCTCCATAACCAAGTACCCTCTCCCCCCCATGTCCACACACCCCTGTAGAGACACCCCCCCCTTAACAATAAAGTACAGTATATGATTCCGAGGTTAGATCAAGACACCCATGAGGCAGGGTGCACAG